TAAATAAATAAATAAATGGTATAAAAGAATTCATCACACAATAATATATCATTAAAAGATACGTGATTAATTTAAATGAAAATTGAAATAATAAAATAATAAAAGTAAAAAATAATTAAATGACAAATGTAGCCATAAAATGAGCGGGAAAAAAAACCCTAGGGTTTCACCAGAACAACCTTCCTTTTATTAATAAGATTTATGAAGTCTATTTGCTATAGAGATTAAATTAAATCATGAAGAAAGCGAATCATCAAACTTTAAATCTTTATATTTTGTTATTTTATGTTCATACATCTTAAATAATAATTTGGGGTACTGCCTCTGAACCCTTATAGTATTTTAGTCCTTCATTTTTATCAAATAATATTATTATATATGTTTACTAAGAGCATCCAATGGAGGAACTAAATGAACATTATCAAATTAAAAAACTGCCACTATGATACTCTAAAATTAAAAAATCCTCCTACAATAGAGGCGTTAATGTGAGAATTATTTTGATATTCAACCACCCCTAGGTTCAAAAATACTCTCTCGAAAATGAGGTATAAAAAATATAACCACTACATTAATCTCTCCCTATTTGACATGTGGCATTTAATGATATAATTATTCATATATTTAAAATTTGATAATCTATTTGGTACTTATATATGGTTGGAGTGAACTTTTTTTCTAAAAATATCAAAGTATTATATCAAGTATGAAATGAATGTTTAATGCTCCATTTTAATATCCCCATTGGAGTTGCTCTAAGACACGTTTGAAGAAACTGATTGTAGGACATATCATGTAATACAAGGTAGAGACGGATTAGAAAAGTGGGCGAATTTCTTGGGAAAATAATTGGCTAGTTTAGTTATTTTTTGAGATAATTTACACTGTAACAGTCAAATCATGTCTAAAATTATTGGAAAATAAAGCATTAATGGAGATATGTGTTATATTTTTGAAATAGGAGGGCTCTATATATAATTGAACCTAACCTCAAGGAAGATAATGTAATTTATTCAATATTTGGTCCATGGTAAAAGTATAATCTCAAAAAATTCAATAAGCAAAAGATTTACCGATTAGATTATTTTTAGGGATAAATAGCAAGAATCCCCTCATCTAGGAAAATAAGTTAAGGAAACACCCCCATCTAAAAATAATTAGAGAAAACCCCCTAGCTAATATCCTACTCAAATATTATTTTTATAATTCCTAAACCACCCTTATAATTATTAAATCTCTTCAAAACCCTATCCCATTTCATTTGCCGTTCTCTCTTCTTCTCTCTTCTGTCTTCTCGTCTTCTCTCTTCTCTCTTCTCTTTTTGACTGAAATTCGAAAGAAAAAGAAGACGTCGACCGATGGTGGTGGTGGTGGTAGTGGAGAGTGTTTGTCACCGCCTCCCTCCGCCGCGTGAACGGTGGTGGTGTAGTTCGCGGCGGTGGTTTCCACCGAAGACGTTGAAGATGATGACTGGCGCCCGATCAAAATTTTATCGCAGTTGCACTTTGCCACAAATCATAATTTTCGATGTATTTTTCGTGTGATTTGCCATATATTCTTCCACTTCAAGGGCATTTGAGTCATTTCATTATTCCCGTCGAAATCATAATATCCTTATCTTTTATAATACACGAAAAATACAATCCATTTCACTGATTTTAGAAAAAAAAATTTACGAACTTTTTTCTCTCAAAAGGATTTGTGCCTATTTTGGTTCCCAAAATTGCGAGAATCTTCAAAATTTTCTTTAGCTAGTCGCTATCATGGTGATTCATCCCTAGAATGACGCAAATGCTCTTCCATTGAACAGATTCATTGCAATTCCGATAAGGCCGGGTATAAAGGAGAAAAAAATGAGCAGCGTAGGATGTCGTTAATGGAAAAACGCTTCAAGGAACTCCAACATCGGATGGAAGGAATTGTTACCCAACTAAATGAACTACGCAAAGATCAACATATTCAAGGGCCATACGTACGACGTGATTTTCACCAACCAGTTATACCGTATCCTGATAAAGATGTAGATCGTGATAGAAATTTTGGTGTGAACGCTACAAAATCAAGGAGGGAGATTATGGGACGAGGGTCTGAATTGGATGGATCGAGCCGAGGATATTTTGGTCGAGAAAGAGATGGCGTTGATCAAAACCGTAGCTCAATGAAATTGATTATACCACCCTTTCAAGGTAAGAGTGATCCAGAGGCGTGTATTCAATGGGAAAGAAAGGTTGAGCACGTATTCGATTCTGATTACTATTCCGAAAAGAATAAAGTGAAGCTCGCCATCGAAGCGTTCATTGATAACGCAGTTACTTGGTGGGACCAATTTGTCTTAACTAGACGCCGTTGTGGTGAACCACCAATTGATGATTGGGAGTCCATGAAGGCAGTTATTAGAAAGAGGTTTGTTAGCACATTATTATAGGGAATTGAATATGCAAAGCTTGAGGCAAGTTACTAAGTCAGAAGAACGGAGTACGCCGAGGTGGGAATCACAAAGGAGTTATCCAGCGAGCATGGTGAGAGAATCATTGCAAAAGCCTAAAAGAGAGAAATCAAAAACCGAGCAGCAATTCAAGACTAAGAGAGGAGAGTGTCCAAGCAAGCCATTTGTGAACTTGTGGTCGAACATTGAGGATGAATCTACAAAGAGAAAATGATTATTTACGTGTCACCACATCAGAGGAATGATAACATTGAATTTCCCATGGAGGAAAACATTCTAGACATCGTGGAAAACATTGATGCAAAAACTGAAGAGATGCAAGACGAGATTGTTGAGTTGCATCCCGATGAGGATGAAAAGTGCAAAATTGCCCCACCACTTGAAGAAGAAATTGAAGGATCGGATTCGAGGGCGAATCCTTTTGAAGAGGTGGAGAATGATACGATCCATCCATGCATCAAAGCTAGTGTCGAGCTAACCAGATTGCAAACTCTTTCAATGCAAGCCAATGAAGATGGTGTGTTCTGCGATGTGGTGGAGAGATGTGTAAGTTTGCTGCCAAAGAGAGAGATCGATCGTGAGATCGATTATGTTTATACTCCTTGTGATATTTGTCCGGATTCGATGACGAATCCTTTTAAAGATGGGGAGTATGATACGATCCTAGCAAGCTCAAATATGAAGAATTGGAAGAAGCACAAGCGTACGAGTTTTAAGAGGACATTCGAGGTTTCCTTGGAGAAAAAAGGCTGGAATCAAATGTTTGAGATGTCTATGATTTGGAATTGGAAGAAAAGAAAGAGAAGAATTCGTTGGACAAGTCGAATTCCATGCATCCGAGATTCTCGCCTATTCTGGAAGAGTTTGCCATTTGAGTTATAACTCTCGCATCTGAAGTCCATTTAAGATGATTCAAAATGATTCGGAAAGCTAGCTGGGTGATCTACAATATTCATGTTTTGAGCGAAGAGATATTCGAAGTGGAACAATGTCGAAATTGAGCTTTAATTGCATGCACGTGCACAACCCAATGTCGCGAGTTAAGAAGGGTGATCGAGAAGTCGACTTGAAGATCAAGTTATTTAATTTATTTATGCACGTTTTTAATTTAGGATTTATTATGTTTTTATTATTTTAGAGTCTTTTATGTTTAGGATTTGCTTATTTATAAGTTTCCTTATTTTAGATTAGGTAGAAGTCATTTTCCTTGTGAAAAAAGAGTCTTTTTAGATCTTATAAATAGGTTGTCAATTGGGCTTATTTTATTGAACGAATTTTGATGATTTAATTGAGAATATTTTCTTTGGTTCTTTAAGAGCTGTTTTAGAAAATTTATTCTTTTTACGTTAAATTGCAGTTCCTAATTTTTAGGAATATTTGATACTTGGTTTTTTTTTTGTGCATTTTTGCACCTCTAGGAGAAAAAGTATCAAAAAAACTACCCCTTTAGTGCTTCCGTTGGAGAAGAAATTTTGAATTTTGGGAATCAAAATGAAAGTTTTATCATCTAATACTCCATTTGATTCCCCCATTGGAGTTGCTCTCAGACCCCAAAAAGCATTTCACTAATTTTTTTCATTTATAATTTTGACAGTGTTAATTTCCAATCTTTTTAAAACTCAATTTGAATATATATTAGCTTTGAACTTTCAATCTTTTAAGTTACAAAAATATTTTCAAATATTCGTTATGTCAACACTTTTAACATCAATATTTTTATTAATTTTTATTATTTCCAATGTTTATTAACTCAATTAGAATGCATATAAGATTCTAATTTTTTATCCAATTTTAATTTACAAAAATATTTCCAAAAATTCGTTATTTATCCTGAAAATTACACTTATAATATTAATATTATTATTTATTTTATATTAAATCTCTTATGATTTTGTAGCAAATTTTCCATAACAATTCCGAAATTCCAATTTCTATTTTCTCCAAACTTCCTTTGGAATAAAATTGAAATTAATTTTTCATTTCCGAAAATACCGATTATGAATTGAAATAAAATTTGTAATTGAATAACAAATTGATTGTAACCAGAAGAGGCGCAATATTATAATTTATAAATTATAACTAACGACAACGAATTCACCCATGACCCACTAACCAAACATTCCCCTACACAACAAAATCTAGAACAAAGAAATATTCAACCGATTATGCAAATACATTAATTTTCACTGATCACTTTCGATCTCCGCCTTCGAATTTAATTAATTCTTTTTGTCACAATTCTGATTAGGTATTTCATTTCTCTCTGCATTTTCATCTGTGTTTTGTAATAATACTGTTTTTGTTTGATCCCTCGTTTTCATTTTATGATTATTTTTTGGCAAATTCATTTCACCGCAGTAAATCTGAACTTTTGTGTGTTTATGTGATTATATATAGTTTAGTGTTGTCATCAGCCGCAAATTCGTCGTAAACGAACTACTTTTTCCGATTCCGATTCCGATTCTGATTCTGATTCAGACTCAGGGTTTTGTTTGCATTGTCTTCCAATTTATAAATGGCTGAATATTGAATTTAGTGAATGCAATTAGAGAGTAATTTTAGTGGGAAGTGATGCATTTGAATTTGGGAATACGGGTCGGAAAATGGAATCTTAGACGGTGAAAGATTCCGTTTTCGATTAACTTTGCGTTAAAAGGATGGAGGTTGTTAGTGATGTGGAAGATGCGCCGCCGACCACCGGTATGAGGAACCAAAACGGAAGTTACGTGCCGTTGGATATTGAAAATGATCTCATAATCGATCAAATATTTACACGTCGAACGAATGGCCTAAGTTTTACGGATTACCAGAGCTTGTCTAAGAGCGACGCAGAGAGCCCTATTTCCGTCGCTGTCGTGCTGAAAACATTTTTCTTGATAATAATTTGGTACACGATCAGTACATTTCTGACGCTGTGAGTAACTCTCGTTTCTCAGCATTGAATCGATTTCGATTTGTTTTGATTATTTGTAGACTCCCTAATTGTTATTTTTTATTTTCGAGGATAGGTATAATAAAACTTTATTAGGGGACGATATGGGGAAATTTCCTGCTCCGCTTTTGATGAACACGGTCCACTTTTCCATGCAAGCTGCTTTATCGAAGGCTATTACGTGGTTTTGGTCCGAAAGATTTTATTCCCCTGTTATGTCTTGGAAGGACTATTTTGCAAGAGGTAAGAGGTTTTTTACGCCTCGTTTTTTTATCACGACTTCCTAGTGCTATCATAAAACGTACATTCATATTGTGTAACATGATCATCTTTCAAAATGTAATAAAGTACTTGATCGTTTTCCTTGTTCGAGATTTTGCCGTTAGTCAGTGAAAAAACACATAGGATACTTCTTTACACACAGTTTATGTAAATCTCGTATTAATACGAAGGTATGCCCTCGTACTGCATTTTTTTTTTTTTTTTTTTCAGTAATTCGTATTTGTATGCTAAAGACCACTTTTCATTAATGCAAATAACCGTTTTTCAAATGAAATCCAAGGCATAGAAATCAAACAGAGAGGAGACTTTCGATTTGTCGATATTTACAAGTTTTCGAGGGTTCAATATTATCTAATTAGAAGTATTGATATTACTTGATTCTCGTTTTTCGTATTGCGAAAATTTGCTAGTATCATTAACTTATTTGACAACTAATGGTCTACAGGCGTTTGCCTTTCACAGTTGTACCAACTGCTCTCAGCACCGCAATGGATGTTAATCTGAGCAACGCTTCCCTCGTTTTCATCTCCGTTACATTTGCCACTATGGTTAGTTATTCATTCTTCGATCGTATCGCTTAAATATTTTACTTCAAGTGTTGGTTGTGTTGCATCTCTAGAGAACTAAGTTCGGTTATCTTTCATTTGCAGTGTAAATCAGCATCGCCAATATTTCTGCTTCTCTTTGCCTTCGCTTTCAGGTATCGATTCCAAGGCACTTACTTATTGTTTAATTTTTTACATCTACGTTTTTTCTCGTAAATTATTTAACCTGATTTCCAAACCAAATAATGTTTTGCGAAGATTGGAATCTCCAAGTGTTAAGCTGTTCGGCATTATCTTTGTCATCTCTGTTGGAATACTATTAACAGGTAAATGTGAACAAGTGGCAGAATCAAAATTTAAATCAGATTAAACACCCGAAACGAGTTTCGTAATTTTGTTTTACATCTCCACGTACTTGGTCGATAATGCAGTTGCAAAGGAGACAGAGTTCGAGTTTTGGGGTTTCCTATTTGTTATGCTCGCTGCAGTCATGTCGGGATTTCGTTGGACGATGACACAGATTCTTCTCCAGGTACAAGCACCTTTATATTGCAACCCATACATACTATTAAGCTCCTTCTCACTTGTTATTTTTTTTTTTCTTTTTGTCTTTTTTAATGTTTTTATTATGGGTAAATTACGAAAAAAATCCCTAAACTTAGGCTAAATTACGATAAACACCCCCACCTATCCGTAATTACCGAGATCCATCAACGTTTGGTTCCCTCTTACACCGACCCCCTTAGAGTGTAAATTTTCACCAAATCTTTTAAATTCCAGTTATTATTTCCCGAAAATGTCAATTTTACCCCTGCAAACATGGCATTTCTTTATGTTACTTTTTAAAAGACAAAAATTACCCTCAGTTTGGTAATAGTGCACTAGAAATTTGTGAAGGCGTTATTTAAGAAGAAGTAAAGATTTCGTGTAAAGTTCTCTGAGGGAATATTTTGCCTTTAAGAAGTAGCATAAAGAAATGCCACGTCTGTAGGGGTAGAATCGGCGTTTTTCGAGAAATATTACTTGGAATAAAAAGGATTCCATGAAAAAACACACCGTAAGGGGGTCGGTGTAAGATGAAAACAAGCGTAGGGGAGATTTTGGTAATTATGGATAGGTAGGGGTGTTTCCAGTAATTTAGCCTAAGTTCAGGGAGGTTTCGTAATTTACCCTTTTAATATTGGTAATATGCTAACATTTTTCTTGACTTCTGTTTTATTGACTGGTATGTGCTGATATCTAAACCATCATGAAGAAAGAAGTCTATGGTAAGTGTTACCACCCTTCATTAGATTAATAAAAATACTATAAAATTTTATCAAGTACACTTTTTAATCGATTTCGAGACGGCTAGCTGGAATTATAGTTAGAAAATTTAGTCGGGTCAAATTCCGTATTACATGCATAGTTGAACTGAAATGTCTGCTTCGTTTGAAGTCGTTAATGGTGAAATGTTTCTAGTTTATTTTCGAGCCTCATAATTGTTAACATCGGACCTTGAAAAATGTCGGAACTGTAATTAATGATTTTTCCGTTCTCTCCGTTTCAAGGTCTAAAAAATCCTCTTACTTTGATGAGCTACGTGACCCCGATTATGGCGATTGCAACTGCTCTGCTTTCTCTGGTGCTCGATCCATGGCCCGATTTCACAAGGACCGATTACTTTAACAGCTCCTGGAATATTGCCAGAAGTTTTTCACTCATGTTTTTTGGTGGAACTCTTGCTTTCTTCATGGTAAATAAATTCATGGATTTGATGCATTTTCCAGCCTTTGTTTATCATTTAATTTATGGTAAATTACGACCACCTCTGAGGTAAGGTCAAATTACAAAACAAACCCTCAACTATGAATCTTCTTACATGTCCACCGTTATGGTGTCAAATTCAACGGAATCTTCTGGATTCCGTGAAATGTTCTCTATCTGTACTCTTTTTGTGCAAAAATACAGTTTTAAAATGTTCACAAGCCAAGAGACACATCTTATGACCATCTTGTTTTAAAATGTGGAGCTCGAATGAGATAAAACGAGTGCAAACTGGAGAATATTTCACATAATTTAGAAGATTCCACTAATTTTGACACCGCAAGGGTGGACGTGTAAGAAGATTCATAGTTGAGGGGTGGTTGTAATTATTCAAACATAAGGGGTTTTTTCGTACTTTGATCTTACCTCAGGGGTGGCCGTAATTTACCTTTTAATTTTTTTAAAAAAAATGGGACGAACTACTCCTATCAATCAGTATTTTTCTGAAATACCGAACAAAGAGATAAGTGGAAACCAATTCTTGAATTCAGCTTGCATATGTTGTTCACTTCTCTCAGCTTTAAACTTCTCTCTCCTTATTTCAGGTACTAACCGAATATATTCTCGTGTCGGTGACTAGTGCGATGACAATAACAATAGCCGGCGTTGTGAAGGAAGCTGTCACAATTTTGGTATGACTATAACTATATTTCGTTGCAGTTCCATTATATTTATCAACATGTTGCATTCTGTAGTAACTGTATCAAAACCGAATTTATTTCGGGACTTGTGAAAATTCATGTGTTTCATAATTTATGCTAGTCGTCTATCTCATGTAACACAAGTTCTCCGAGCATTATAATTTTGTCAAGGACTGACTACTGAACATTTTAATATTTCTTTCAGGTCGCTGTATTTTATTTCCATGACGAGTTCACATGGCTGAAAGGCGCTGGCCTTGCAACAATTATGCTTGGTGTCAGCTTATTTAATTGGTACAAGTAAGTCATCAAACTGCTCATATGGTCACCAATAATTGACGTTTTCATTAAGTAATACTTAACTGTTAGTAAACTTGTCGATTATTCATGCATGATTTTCCGTCAAAATTATTAAACTATTATAATCGGCCAGTCGTAACTTGATATGCGCATCGGGAAATAGGAATACGAGCATAACGATTTGTACTCTTTTTAACATTTATCAGGTACCAGAAATTGCAAAAGAGCAAGACAGTTGTTGTGTCGCCGACAAAGTATCTTATCCAAGACGAGTTTGACGATGAAGAAGAAAACAGCCCTATAAGAGTGCAGTGAACTTGTAAGCTTTCTTTATACTCAGTGCTCAACCCATTATTTTTTTCACGTCATACGTTCAACGTTACTCTATTTTCCTTCATTTTGGCATAATCTAATGTTTCAAGTGTATCTTTCGTTGTATGTTACCGTAAACAATACAGATAGTCGATTCGAATTTTGTGTTCTTTTATAATGATTCTTTGTGTTGTTCCAAAAGCTTGGGTTAAAGGGTAAATGATTTTGTGGTTATTAGTTGTACCTTGTGAAGGACTAGTAGTGTTTACTCTTTGGTCTACAAAATAACCGAACATGATATAATACGTATTTATTTTGCAAGCCTTTCTTCAACTTGCTGGGCTTACATCATGTCGATTGTGTATGTTTTTTGGTTTTTTTTTTTTAATTAGTTAATTTATTTGTTATCTTGATGCAATTTCAGACAAAACTTTGTTTACCTTTGTGTAGGTAACACCGTTTCTCCTTACGGTGTCTGAGAGGGTAGTACAAAAGATGCCCTAATATAGTCGTAATACTTTCCTTGTGTGGGCTTCATTCAACATGTTGAAGGGGATGCAAGTAAGAATATTACATTCTTTAAAGAATGCAGGAGTTTATAACGACTTCCCACATCACTTACGGGTGAAATTCTCGAGCATTTTGATGCACTAGTTGGTGTTGCAAGATAGGGATCGATCGATCCTTCACAGAGTTGTAAAGGAAAACATATTTTTTTGGCGTCCAATTTCATTCTCACCATTAGTAGAGAGTCGTTCATCCGAATTTTTTTCCCTAAACCTTTTATTATGTCGAGTGTACGCATTTCTACTAAAGCGTAACATTGAGCGCTCGTGTTATTTCGATTTTGGTATTTGATAAAATTACTCTTCTTGAATGCCATTACCGCTTAATTTTTCAAACCAGAACTGTACCAAAACTATTTAAAAAGTTAACCAGAATATCATAACCTTACCACCAATGTTAGCTTATTCAAGAATATCCATTTGCCATTTAAATTATGTTATATTTCAAACTTGGTCCGCCCACTTGTTCCAACTGAAGTGACCAACTGATTTCTCAATTGTGAATTAATTGAGGGCAATTTGCTATAGGTTCCTCTATTTTATAATTTATATTTATAAATTTAAGTCAAAATACGCATATTTTAATAAATTAATTATATTCATTGTGGTAAAAATACACTTAATCAAATCAAAATTAAATCCCAAAAAATCTCTCTATCAAAACAAATTCCCCCAAACATATCTCTTCCTAATTTAACTAACAAACAAAACTATTCGTGAAAAAAAAAATTATACTTTATTGTACAAACTCATACTCTAAAAAAACTACTGTCGCCGACTCCCTGAACTGCAAAATAGCAAATTGAAAATTAGAATTTGTATTATTGAAGTGCAAAAAACAAAATACCTATGCTTTCGGCAAATGTAAACAGTAAACTGAAAAAAAAATCCAAAATTTGCATATTAAATTGCAAACAACAAACTACCTAGATTTCGCCAAAAATGCAAACAACAATTTAAAAAGAAATTCACATGTATATGTTCATAGTTAATCGACTATGCTCGGGCAGTCGATTAAGGTTGATCGACTCCAAGTTTTTTCTTTTTGAATTTTTTGTTTATTGATTCCAATTGTATAAATCATTTATAATGTTTGTGTATTTTTTGCTTTTGTAAATTTTGCATTTTTTCGTAGTTGACATTTGTTATTTTTAGTAGCAAATTCTTAATCGACAATGCTTCACATCATAGTCGATTAATATGCTTCATTGACTCCAATTTTTAATTTTTTTTAGATTTTTTTTTTTATTGATTCCAATTATATAAATCAATTATAATGTTTGTTTATTGTTTGTTTTTGTAAAATAAAGTTGAGTTTGTATTTTTGTAGTTGTGATTTGTTATTTTTAGTAGTTGGTTCCTTAATCGACTATAGTTCATCATAGTCGAGTTCATATGCTTCATAGATATGTTTCATAGTCGATTAACATACCTAATAGAGAAAAAAAAGGCTCAAAAACGATAAATAAGAAAAAAGAATAATTTAAAAAAAAAATTAAAAAAGTTAATAATAATAAAAAATTAATAATAATAATAATAAAATAATATATATATATATATATATATATATGTATATATAAAAGAGAATAAAAGAAGAAGAAAGAAAGAGAGAAAGACACAGCTGATGGGTCATGGGGATAGTGTGTAAGGTGGAGCGACATAAATGGAAAAATGGGTGACTGAAATTAGAAGTGAGTTTTTCTCAATTGGAAAACAGTTTGAGCCTTTTCGTATTAAAAGAAGTATTGAGGGGTTATAGCTCAACTGGTTCTGGAGGTGGTAACTTGGTGCAATGTCCTAGGATCGAATCCTGCAGCCGCAGTGTGAGAATTTCACTCCAATGAGAGTTGGTTCCTTTCGACTTTTTTTGTGATGACAACTTATTGTTGAGAAACAAGAAATTTGCGGGCGTAGAAAAATCCTCCATTTGTCAGAAACAAGAAATTTCCCGGCATAGAAAAATCCTCCTATTGTTAGAAACACCCCGGTGGGGCCCGTTTTTTCTGGTTTTTTCTGTATGAAGTTATCAAGTCAAACTACAAGTCTAAGAAAATTGTCCATTTTCAAACATATTATATTGTCTTATCCATTTCATCTTTACGAAAAAAACAAATAAGCAAAATACAACAACCAGGATACATATATTTTGATTATATTCAGTCGTTCTTATTACCATCATCTCTGATAAATTAATTAAGTAAATAATTAATGGAGATATTTCAAAGTTCAGTGATGCTGCTGGTAGTCTCTCTTGTTGTTGTTGTGGGATTAATATTATCAATAGTATATGCATGGAAAGTGTTGAATTGGGTGTGGTTTAGGCCAAGAAACCTTGAAAAATGGCTCAGACAATTGGGTTTCGAAGGGAATTCTTACAGGGTTTTGTTTGGTGATTCTAAAGAAATGAGCAACATGATTAAAGAAGCCAAATCCAAACCCATCTCTGCTTTCTCCAATGATATTGTTGCTAGAGTTATTCCTGCAATCCATCATGCTGTCAGCATGTACGGTATGTGTTTGTGTATTTGCTTCAATGAAAATTAACATATGTATGCTCTTTTATATTCAAAAGTTGAGCTTTTAGCACTGATCACCCCTGTATACTCTCTAATTGCCGCAAAAGTCCCTATGTTTTATAAAGTCAGTCAAAGTCAATAAGGCCCCTGCGAGTCGATCGAGTGATACACTCGCCATATACGCCACTTGGGGTTGGTTTTATGACATGAAAAGATTGTTTGAAGATTGGATTTTGTCAAAACCAAAAAGTTTTTTGCAGCCATTTTAATTTGTGTCAGTGAGGAAGATGAACTTTTTGTTTTTTTATTAATGGTTTATTTTTTATATGTTGTATTTAATTAGGGTAGTATTGTCATTTCCTTAAAGTCAACATTTTTATTTCTGCTAGGCGGAAGTGAACTAAATAAAATGCAACATATGGTTTTATTTTAACACGAGGACTTTTTAAGCAATTAGACATTACACAGGGGGGTCTGTGCTAATAACTCTTCAAAAGTTAAAGAGTATGTCTTAAAAAAAAATACTATGGTTTTATTATTTTCGTGAGGCTAATTATTTGAACTTGCAGGTGAGAAGTGCATCCTATGGTTTGGTCCAAAACCAGCAGTACTTGTAACAGACACAGAACTTATAAGGGAGATTCTGTCGAAAAGCTACGTTTTTCAGAAGAATTCAAACCCGTTAGGCCGACAGCTGGCACGAGGAGTAGCAACCTACGAAACCGATAAATGGGCCAAGCACAGAAGACTCATAAATCCTGCTTTTCAACCAGACAAAATCAAGGTGACTTTATACTGCGTGGAATATGTTAACTGTATTCGAAATGATTTAGATTAATTGAATCTGTTAAGAAAAATGCAGCAAATGCTTCCGTCGTTTTACTTGAGTTGTTGCGATATGTTGAGCAAATGGGAAGAGAAATTGGCCAAGGAAGGATCTTCGGAAGTGGATGTGTGGCCTTATCTTCAGACACTGACGAGCGATGCAATTTCGAGAACTGCGTTTGGAAGTAGCTATGAAGAAGGAAGAAAGATATTCGAACTTCAAAAGGAACAAGCCGAGCTTATCATGCAGGCCGTTCAGTCTATTAATTTTCAAATCCCCGGATGGAGGTACGTTACATAATTGGAAAAAAAATATAGTTGTCCCTTAGTTTTATTTTTTTTGTGCAATTTGCTAAACACCGATGAAAACTAATAGCATTTATTCATGTAGTGATAATACTCGGCCGAAGATCTTGCTGATTAATGTAACTAAGCTCTACAAATAAGTTTTCTAATCGTTCTGTCTATTCATGTATTGGTACGTCCTCAATCTAAGTTGCATATATTATTGTCATGAAGGGTAAAATTGTCTTTTCAGTGCCCATATGGACCTATTAGAGGGCTCCAGGAAATTTGAACGGTACCAAAATCCAATTAGAGGACTTTAAGCAAAATGAAAAATATTTCTTGTCCTTTAAGCGGTACCAAATGTTTTTTCCGAGATTTTTAGCGAATATTGCCTATTTTCTTATATTGTTATATGCATTCAGGTTTTTACCTACAAAGATGAACATAAGGATGAAGCAAATTGTGAAGGAAGTGGAGTCCTCGATTCGTGGCATTATCGATAAGAGAATGAAGGAAATGGAAGCAAGGGAAGGTAGCTATAGTAGTGATGACTTATTGGGTATTTTATTGGATTCCAATTTTAGGGAAATCAAACAAAATGGCAACAAATTCGGAATGAGTCTAGACGAGGTTATTGAGGAGTGCAAACTTTTCTACTTTGCTGGACAAGAGACGACATCGTCCTTGCTTGTGTGGACGATGATTTTATTGAGTAAGCATTCGGATTGGCAGTCTCGTGCCAGAGAGGACGTTCTACAAACTTTTGGGACAAGAAAACCCGATTTTCAAGAGTTAAATCACCTCAAAATAGTAAGTCTTGTTTTTACACTTCTGTACAAGTTCTTGCATGCAGCATCACTTCCCATGTGTCAAAAAAATCGAATTGAATTGAGCCAAACATGATTGTTTTAAATTTGTTTGTCTTTTTCTTGAGCTTTTAACCAGTTGGCATTTTAACTTGGTTCGACAGTCAGACAAATTCAGCTCAAACTGGCTTAAATCAAACCAAACACAAACTAAAATTGATTTTTTATACATATATATGCTCGAGCCGAATTTCATATCTAATTGTTTGAAAATATGTCTTCGGAGTTGGTTAATTAGGCTAACAAAATCAAATTATAGTGATCTTTTACCAATCTGATCGAGTATAGAACAACTTGATTTTATTTTCGAACCCAGTTACGGGTGGAAGTTGGAACATAATATCCGATTCCTGCTGGTTTTTACGCTTTTGGAACAATAAGTTTCGTCCCGAATTCCGAAATTCCTATTTTCTGATTTTTTTTATCGAATTTGGAATATAGCTGAGAATTCGATTTCCGATCTAAGTTTAATTTCCAAAAAAATCCAATTTATTCCTCGAATGTTTGACTTATAATATTAACATTATTATGTACTTTATATTTTAGGTGATTAAAAATCGGAAATTTCCAAATTCCACTGATTTCGATCCGAAAACTTCCGATTTTGGGAAAATTGTTTTCATTCAATTTACGAAATTTTGATTTTCTTTGGAACATAATTTGAATTAGTTTTTTACTTCCGGAAAAAAACAAGAATTTTTTCGAAAAGTGCTAATTCCGATCCGCTCGGTTTTTACCCCTAGTCCTAGCTAATCAAACATCAACATGGATTGATAGAATTGGTTTCCGGCAATTTCATAAAGTGAAATCTTTATGTAATATCCTAGCTTGTCTTGGAAATATCTACGGTTCCCATTCACAGGATAATAATTATCAATATTATAATGCAGGTAACCATGATTCTACACGAGGTATTAAGGTTGTATCCAGCGGGGGTCAATCTTGGCCGTACAACTCGCAAGGAGACTCCATTAGGAAAGTCAACCCTACCGGCCGGAGTCCAACTCATCCTGCCAGTTCTCCTACTTCACCACGACAGCAAAATGTGGGGCGACGATGCAAAGGAATTCGATCCCAACAGATTCAGTGAAGGCGTTTCGAAGGCAACGAATGGGAAGCTCTCGTATTTCCCGTTTGGTTGGGGTCCGAGAATATGCTTAGGCCAGAGCTTTGCAATTTTGGAGGCTAAAATGGCGCTTGCTATGATATTACAGCGTTATTCTTTCCAGCTTTCTCCGTCGTATTCGCATGCTCCGTATACTGTTATTACGCTGCAGCCTCAACACGGTGCACACTTAATTCTAACCAAGCTATTGTAGGGTTAAGACTTAAGAGAGTCGATATATGTTTGGATGTCGAACGGCTAATAACTTACTATTGGAAATGTTGCTTAGCTTGGCTTTGTGTGTTTTTATTGATGTGTGTAAATTACTTGATGAACAAAATATGTCAGTTTGCTGCAACATTTTTGGTGTATAAATGTTGGGCTTGAAAGAGAAATGGCAAATTGAACTTTTGGGATTTTTGGATTTAGGTGGGATGCTGATTATTTAATGGAAAATTAGCTAATAGCTTCTGAGCATGGACAACTAGTAGCAATTAGGGCAGACATATTTTATGTTTTAATTGAAGTCCCATCAATTCAAATTTGCATGTGCTTAAAAGTTTTTTGAAGGGATATGAACAAGTTGAGCTCGAGCAGAGCTCACCTATTAATTTATGTTGTCGAGCCCCAGCTCGTCGAGTATTTTTTTTTTTGGCGTCGAGCCTAAATTCATTTTGGGTTTTTTTTTTCTTTTTAACTTTTTTATTATTATCTAGAATATAATAAAAAAATTACAAAATAAGCAATAATATGTTATTTCTATAATATTTTATATTATTATACATTATTTAAATAAAAATATAATATATAAAATAATAAGAAAATAGGACTTGTGAGCCGGCTCGTGAGCTCACGAACAACTAAATAAAAGCCCGAGCTGGACTTGTTAGAAAGCTCGAGCTTGCTAGCTCGAAAAACTCGAGTTCCAGTTCTGAGTTTTTTTTTTAGCCAGCTCACGAGTCGGCTTAGCTCGTTTACCACCCCTAATCTCTTCACTAGGTTTGTTGTGAAGCACGTTGGATTTTCACGATTCGAGTTATTAAGGGCTCGGAAAAGGTATTTTGTTTTTCGATTTCTGATAATATTTGAAAAATAATCTTAGTAGAATACCCCCTTTGTCCTTTATTTAAATGACATTTTAGAGAGAATTTTTTGCCCCAAATTTTATGACGTTTCTCCTTCTAATGGAGTATTAATTACTTATTTTCCCTAGTTACTCTTAATAAGGTCTCCAACACTAATTAAATACTCCTATAAATTTGTTACAGAGAGAGAGTGCAAAAGGTTGTTTTAGTCCACCTGTCATAATTTATAGCTAGATTTATTGACTCCTTAGTTTGTATGAAAAACTTTGAAACGTCGAGTAAGTAGGGAATGAGGGAGTATTTAAATTTAAATTTAAATTTTGTAAATTGGAATTTTATTAAAATTTTAAGTTTTAGTAGAATTAGGCTCTATATTTTTTTTCATTTATGGTAAATTTCATATTTTACTAATTAAATTTTCAGTTTTAACAGGATTTTACAGTTTATTTTATTATTGAATATGTGCGCGAACACACACATATGGCTGACTGTTAAGATGACTTAGGATGCTATGATTTTAGCGGATGTTTGAGATATCTTTCAAACCTTACTAAATTAGATGAAAACTCAAGTTAAATTAATCCTTACACATAGTCCTGGGTAGGGGTGGTAAACGAGCCGAGCCGACTCGTGAGCTCGACGAGCCGGCTCGTAAGAAGCTCGAACTTGAACTCGAGATTTTCGAGCTCGAGCTCGAGCTCGCGAGCTCGAGCTTTCTGACGAGCCGAGCTCGAGCCGGATTTTAGTTGTTCATCAGCTCGCGAGCCGGCTCGCGAGCCGGGTTTATTATTATTTTTTTTTTTTTATATGTTATTTTTATTTAAATAATGTATAATAATATAAAATATTATAAAAATTCAAATAAATACAAATATTTAAAAAAAAATATATAATTACAATTTAGTTTTTATTTTGTATTTTTTTAAATAATTTTTAATATTAAAATAATAATTAAAAAATATTTAAAAAAAAAAAAAAAAAAAAGATTGGGCTCGAGCTCGAGCTCGACAAAATTAACACGAGCTCGAGCTCGAGCCAAAAAAAGAAGAACTCGACGAGCTCGAGCTCGAGCTCGAGCTCGACAAAATAGACTCGAGCTCGAGCTCGAGCCAGCCAAAAGAGGCGAGCTCGGCTCGAGCTCGGCTCGTTCACACCCCTAGTCCTGGGGACGTGAAAGTACAATACTACCATCAACTAAATGAAACCGGCGAATAGGAAATAAAAATCTCAATTATGGCGCACGCAGTTCCCTAAAAATTAGAGGAACTCGGACACGCATCATATTAAGTTTTCAAACATTCCTCTTGTTGCAACTATCTCAAAAGCACACACACAATTTTCCGCCCAACAATGCTCTTGAACCTCCATCGACGTCAAATTCCCAACATATACATCAAATAAATGGTCAAAAAACAAAAAGCAAATAAAAAATCACACGTAATTTTGAATTTTTTTTTGTTCCGATTAGTACCTGCATTTGGGTGTTTTGTTTACAGATCCACAGTGGATATATTTAGTAACATTTGTCGTATGATATTTTTCGAATATGTTTAGTAACCTTCGTTATAATGTTTTTATGTAATTTTTTATTGTAATAATATTAACTCAAACATGATTTTCTCTACAGGCGAACGGAAAAACCACGAGTGACGAAGATAGGTAAACTCTAAACACTGGTATAGTTTTTTCCTCTTCGCCATTTTTAAATAACTATTCAAAACTGTAATTTCTGAGAAAAATACTAGAAAAAAATGAATTTTATAATGTTTCTGGGATTCCGACGCACTTGTAGTTATATGTAGTCCTTTTCCAGTTTACCAGTTTTGAAAAATTGAGCCGCGTAATAAATGTCGAAAAAACATAGAATATTTGTTGTATACAGGGTTGGTTGTTTTACGTAACCCTAGTTTTATGTATTTATGCAATACTAATTAATGTTATCAGCGGCCATGACATCCGTTATTTATTTTCTCAAGATCAAGAAAGAGATCTAGCGTCGCATGCACTGGATCATGGTATTTGGAGTGCACAACAATGAGCCATGCTGCATAAAACAATGAGATTCTTCTCTAATGTTCACGTTCGACAAGAACATTACGATTGCCTCCGTCATACGCCATTCTACAATCTGGTCCTCCCATTCGCAGAACACAAGATAAGTGATGTATTCGTTACATGAACACAAGCAGGTGTATACGGCATATATTGAAGACGTACAATGCTAAGCAACAACCATTTGGCATTGGAGAAAAAAATGTCACCATAGAACCCGAAGAGTGCGAATTGATATTCGGTCTATGATCTGGACCTAAACAAACGTGTTTCGACATATTGCATCGGGCACACTAAGGTCTAATTCAACGGAAGTTTGAAGATCGTGCCCAACTCAGTTTTTGCAAATGAGAGACCAACTTACAAAATCATTGGCTGACAGAGAGCAAGAAGACTTCAAAGACGTAATTAAATTGATAGTGCTATATTTAATTAGCAACCACCTCTTCAACCCATCACCAAGCATAGTGGCATGCATAGTGGATATTCAGATACTGTGACGATATCAATAAGATGAATCGGTATAATTGGGCAAAAAGAGTGACAAAATTCTTCCTAGACAACGTCAGGACCAACGAGGCAACCAAAGTGAAATGGTTTACACTATTGTTGCCGGTGAGTTATGTGCCTACCTCCCAGTTAGACAATATGCATGCGTCGTAAGGTATAGTAATGCGTCGTAAGGTATAGTTAATCGCTAGAATAACGACCTCCTGAAATGTTTAGCATCCCCTTGAAAAACTTGCCCAACCTACTTAATAAGGTTTGCCCAATTCGCACTTCAAAACTGAGATTGATCAAACACAGCATTCTCCTCAACAAAACAATCCTTTCCCTTTCCCATCACGCACACCACTCATTCATTCTCTCTCTACATAATTAACATCATTAGTGCTTGCACACACTGGAATTATGGTAACTAGACACACAATTGCACACCCTTTTCTACTTAACTATCTTAATTCGATCAATCGATAATTGTCGTACCAATGACATCATATACCCAACATCATCATCATCGCCCAACAAACCCTCCCCAACACCAGCTATGTTGTACAACATATTTACATTGTTAATAATAAGCACGTTCCACTTTTTTTTTTTTTTTTGATAATTAAGCATGTTCCACTTAGCACTAAAAAAACCAACCAACTTTTCACAACTAAAATGTGTGAAACATTTTTTAACTTTGAAAACACCATCGAACTTAAAAACCGGCAACAAAAAAGGCATACATCGTTATATACAATCATGTACAAATATAGAGCGGAATTGTCAAAGCAGGTAAATAAAATTGCATGTTACTACTCTATAAGAAAATACATTGTGCCAAATCGAAATTACAAATCGAACTACGTGTTCATAAGTATTAGCGTATATTATTATTGTTATTATTATTATTTATTATAGTTACCTTATACATTAGGTTACCTTGTATATTGGATTACCTTGTGTAGTAGGTTAGGGTTTCCTACATGTAACTATATATATTCTCAATATACGTAAGAGATATTATTCTCTCTTCTCTCCAAATATTCTCCTTCTATCAATAAGAACCAATCAACAAACAAAAACACTTCAAAAACACAAAAATCCCAAAATTAAAGAGAAAACCGGCAATAATCTTTCACTATTGAATACCTATGTGCGAGCGTACAACAGATAAACACTCCGAAAAGCACACCAACGACGTCGGATGAATATCCACTGCACGATAATTCAAAAAAAACTCCATCGTGCCAAATTACGACTACGCTGTATCGGAATTCCTTTTGGATTGTTCCTCAAATTTCCGTTGATTAGGCACGCGTTTTACCTGAAAAAAACTTGACAAAATGTGGTCGTGAAACGCAAGAAAACAACGTGTTATTTTGAAAAAAGATTCGATAAGGATATTTTAGATATATCAATTGAATGGAGGGGTATGTCTATTTTTGTTTTAAAAAAAAGTAGGGGTGGTATTTAGTGCTATATTATTCTACTATATATAAAACCATCTTATATTTTATTTGAAAAAATTAATTTTTAAAGTGTTTGGATATTAATCTACATAGTTACTTTGACATTTTACTAGGAGTGTGGATGTGCATTTTAAGATGAACAAACAAAATCGTGAGGTATTTTGTTAAAAAGAAAAGCGATAGAAGGCTTTCCTCAAAAAATGAAATAAAAAATTGAACTCATGCAAGTTCGTTTCAGCTAACCCTTTTGACTTCAAATATCACAATTGTATTATTGAATCTTGTCCAATAAAAAACATGTCTAAAAAGCAACATAATGTAGATAACATAATATTTGCTGGTCTTCCCAACCAAACGAGACCTTATGGCATTATATCATTATATAGGGTAAACAACATAAAACCCCCTGTGTTAAGTAAAACCTGCGCCAAATCCCCCTTTGTTTTGTTTTTTGCGTAAACTCCCTTGTGTTTTATTTTACTTTGCACGAAATCCCATTTTCCGTTAAAAGTTAACATCGTTGACTATAGAGGGGGTTTTATGCATGTTTTTTTGTAACATAGGGGGATTTAGCTCATATTACAATAGAAGTGGATTTTATGCAAAAAATAATTTATTTTTTTAAATTTCATATTATTTTCTGAAATTGAGTTGAACAGATTTATTCAATTACAATACGAAAAATAAAAATTTAATAAGTGTGGTAAATGTTTTTTTAGAAAAAAATCAATTTTTATATGATATAATTTATTAATGTATGAATTTTGATTTTTTAAATTATATAATTATTTTATTAGAATTATTATATATGTTTATAATTTCTTATTGATTAATTATATGTGAAAAGAACATAAATAATTTGAGAAATCGTTCCAACTTCCATCTCGAGTATTATTTCTTAAATTTCATATTTTAAATTAATAGATATATTCGACTTATTTTAAGAAAATAATTTGAATTTTAAATGAATAAATTAATTTGCATAGACGCTCCTTGTTTTGTAAAATTATGCACCAAATCCCCCTATGTTACAAAAAAACATTTTGCATAAAATCCCCTCTATAGTTAACGGTGTTAATTTTTAACGCAAAATAGGATTTCATGCTAATTATATTAAAACACAAGGGGATTTTACGTATAAAAAAAAAAAAAAAAAAAAACACAGAGGGATTTGGCGCAGATTTTCCTTAACACAGACCGGTTTTATGCTGTTTACCCCTTTATATTATATATAAAGGAAATGAAATTTGAAATCATATTTAAGATCTCTCACGCACGCGGTTACTTTTGGTCACTCCTTTTTTAAAGGGCGATTATCTAATATTGTTTTTCTGTAAGCAGAATTTCAACTACGTGACTTTTCATCCATCACACAATTGCAATTTCATACGAATTCTCATTTTTTAACTGTGTATCTTTTGATATATATATATATATATATATATATATATATATATATATATATATATATATATATATATATATATATATATATTAAGTACATATATATAGGGATAGACCCCTTTTTTTTATGCAATTTTTTTTTGCCTTTTCTTTTGGCCCATTTAATACCTAAACTATGTCGTTTGGTTCCCTCCCACCAATCATCTTCTCACGTTATTTTCTTTTTTATTTATTTCTGGAGCAGCTCGACCGTGACACGCTTGCTTGCTTTTTCCTTTTCTTTTAATCTGTTTTATGCAGAACGGCGTCGTTTGAACGGCTGAAGTTCAAATGTTATTTTTATTTTCTTTTCTTTCTTTTGTTTTTTGGCCGCCTACAATTGTTGACGCCGCCGGAATTTCCTCACCCAGGCCGTCATGTCTGCAATCATCACGTTTTTCTCTTATCCTTTGTTTCTATCTTCCAACAAGTTCCGAGGTTGCTCCATCGTCTGCTGCGTGTACTTCCTATCTCTTGAATTTCAATTTTGGGATGACAGCACCTATGTGATAAACTTTAGTTCAAACTCTGGAAATCATCCTCCATTTCCGTCCCGTTGAAGAACAACGTCATCCGCCGCATCGGCGTCCCTCCACTATGAGGATCTTCTCCTTCAGGCTCCTGACGGTGTCGGTTTCGTCGACGTCGATTTGGATCTTTCTTGCCGATAATTTGACGGTGATTTTCATTTTGGTTGCCGGCGGCGGCTGAATAATTGGTGGCGGCGGCGGGGTTTGCTTCGTGGTTGAGGGGTGGATTTTGGTGCCGTCGGAGACGAGTGGGTAGTCTTCTAAATCAAGGCTGTCGATAAGCTCGCAGTCGCAAATAGTGAGGATTTGTGAGTCGAAAGGGATGCCCAGAAGGTGTTTGATTTTATGCTTGATTTCAATGATGGGTTCTTGTGTGCTCACTTCCATGGAGAATATGCAGTACCCTGTCATTACAGTGGTGATCTTCATCAATCAAGCCATCAGTTTCTTTTTTTTTTGGAAGTGATTAATTAATTAATTAATTAATGGATAAATGTGCTCCTATATTGCTGGACAATGGAGCCCTTGTTTGTGCCTCACTTGGTGGATATGGTAGATTATATCAGTTGTGACCCAATTTCCGCTTCTAAACGGGTACGCTATCGAATTGCGTCCCGCGTTACAGATTTTCAATTTAGATTTGGTTTGTTAGTTTGTGTAATGTGATTTACGGCAAAGTCGATTCATTTATTGAGAATTTTATGTCTTTTTTAGATCCCAAATCTAGCGCAGATCTATTTGATTGTCTTTTACGAGGAGCGTGAATTTGCATTGTTTGTATCGTTGATTTCTAACGAGCTTAGAGTGCCTGTAAGGTAATTACGTCGCTTTTGTTATTTCTTGTTCCTTTCGACACATCAAAGCAATGTTTTATTTATAAATCGTACACTTAGTGCTGTTTATTGTTTGATCGTTCGATAACTAGATACTTGAGAGAAGATAAGCCACACGGTTCGGCTGGTGGACTATATAACTTCAGGGATTTTATCATGGAAGATGATCCGGTTCGTATTTTAATTTTATTCTTTATTATTTACACATTCTATTAAAATGTAATAGAAATTAAATATATATATATTTTTTACTGTAATTGATAATAGGTAGTTACTATATTTTTGTATCTGTATGTAACAGGTTAGTGACCGTATTAACTGTGGTGTTTACGTATTCAAGCCGGAGATCTTTACAGCTATTCAAGGTGTATCCACGCAACGTAAAGAAAGAGGTTAGTTCGTATAGCAATCTTCGGTATTAATACGTTTTTTTACGCTGATTAGTTAGCTTAATGATATATTTATTTCTCGTTTTTTTATTCGTTCTATTTTGCAGCTACTCTAAGACGTGTAACGAGGTTCGAAGCACTTCAACCTGCAAACAGGTACATAAACGCACAATGTACAAACTGCTCGTATATTTTTCCTCATTGTGAGGAGAAAAAAAATCGCGCCGGTAAATGTACGATACAAAATTTAATTTGCAGGAATCTTCCGACAGATTTGTACGATTGGATCAAGATATTCTATCACCACTTGCTGGTAAGAAGCAGTTTTACGTGTACGAAACGATGGATTTCTGGGAACATATTAAAACCCCCGGGTAAGTTAAATACAGTACAATGTCGTCTGCTTCTGCTTCGACTATATATATGTTCTTTAAAGACTGTTATATTCTATCGAACGGGATTTTTTTTAATTTTTCTTTTGTTATTGTGTAGAATGTCGTTGAAATCTTCTGGGCTATATCTCGCCCAATATAGAATAATCTCACCCAATCTTTTGGCGAGTGGAGATGGTTCGAAAAATGCCATTTTTGTACGCAATAGGCGATGGCTGCAGTGTGTGACCTCGAAACTGCCTCGGCCCAAGAACTGTTTGAAGGTAATTTTTGTGCTTCTCGTATTTTATTCGATGTTAGGAACATTAAAAGTAAATTATGCCATTTTACGTGTCTATGGCTCTGATAGGAAAAATGAACTTCAAGGGCAAGCTGAGGGAGCTCCCGGTGATGGTTATGTCGTCGAAGAACTTTTTGCTCGCACTGATAGGTATTAGCCTATATCAAGATTTTATTATTATTATTATGAAATATATATTCCTATTTTCAGTATCTAGATTCTTGTATTCTTGTATAATGGGAAATGGTTAGCCTAATGACAATGCGCATGAAGGTTTTACAAATGTTTTAGAGGGGTATAAATAAATTTCAAGTAGCAGTTGTATGTTCCTTGAATTTCTTATTATGTTGAGTTTGCGATTTTCTTTATTTATTCTTTTGGTTCAGGGAAATTATATGATGTTGGATTAAGATTCTGGTACCTCTTCCTGCCGCTGAAAATCGATTATAGCCCCGCAACACCTTTCTTCCTTCGATGCCCACCACCCACGCCGCCACTGCATTCTCACATTTCATTCAATATTAGAGAGCGATTGAAATGCCGTGGTGTGTGGAAGTATTTCTGGACGACAAATATATGAAGGTGTATATATGTATCAGTAGAGTGAATTTGGTGAGTAAATTAGCTTTGCATTATATTCTTTATTTTTATGGTTTTTATTTTATTTTAATTTAGTCTGTTTTGATGATCTTATTTCGACCTTTTCTTTATGGATTGGGGTGGTTGAAACTTGAGAATGACTAAAATAGAAAGAATTACTCTTAAAGAAGAAAGAGAAACATAAAGAAAGAATTTGAGAATGAGAGGGGCTATCTTTTTTTTAAATGTCAGTGCGTGGTTGTGTCAGGGTTCTTTTTCGGTGAGTACTCATTCTCCTCCAGACATTATTGTTTGTTTTTTTTGTTCTCACTTCTGTAAATTGCACATCTGGTTTTTTTTTTTCCTGCACGGGGTACACCAGTCATTACTGTCCGGATATCTCATGAGTCCAGATAGGGCAGTTGGTAGCACTTGTCGAATTCGAGTTCCTCTCTGGGAACTCATCTCAAAGGTTCTTTTTTTCCCGCTCATTAGCCCTTCGCTGTTATGCAATTATGTGAAAGAAATTTGGTAAATTTTTGTGATGCTTGCAGTTATAAGAGAAGAAACATAGAGATTGACAAACGTTTCATTATATGATTTTATTATACAACGTTAGGTGATGACAACGTCTCTATGTTCTCATTCCCGAAAGGGGCTTCAAGACTGTGTATATTAGAGGAGGGTCTGGTGGTTCTGTTAATTCCGGGCCTAGCGCAAATATTCATGGCTCCGGCGGTGGTGGTGGTGTTGGAGTGAAAAAGTTTGTATTACACATGTTCTTCCGTTGTACAACTATAGTGGTTCTTCTTCTTTGTAGGTGAAGTAAGAATAGGTGTTTCAATTTTGCACAAAAATAAACACAAATTGTTTCTTACTCATATTTCCTTTTCCTCCCCCAGCCACCGCCGATATGACTACCGGCAATGAAGCTGCAGCGCACCTCGACCTCGAGACCGGCGACTCCTCCGCCGGCGTTGATGGGGGTGGATGGGGCAGCGATCCTGATTTCTCTGATCCTTTCGACATTGCCAACACCAAAAAAGCCTCCCATGAATCGCTCAAGCGCTGGAGGGTAAGATTTCGCCGGCGTGTGTTTGTTTATTGTATTGCATTTAATTATCACATGCAATAAATCGTTTGTTTTCATCGTAAAATGTGATGTCGTTGTTGGTGATTCTTTTATGGCCTCTGTTTTGGTTTCATGCACGTGACGTTTCGATTACCCGATCCCATAATAGTGCATCTTATTTTTCTGTTTTGAGGATAAATTAAACGGTTGAATGATTAGTCGTCGACTTTATCATTTTTGCTTTTATGGTTATGGAATTTAAAATCACTTGAAAGTCGATGAATTACATGCATGTGCACCTCTTTCTGATTGTCTAAGTGTTGGTCCTTTTGCAGCAAGCCGCCCTCGTGCTTAATGCTTCGTGACGTTTCCGCTACACGTTAGACCTGAAAAAAGACGAAGAACAAGAAAAGAGAAGACGGATGATCAGAGCACATGCTCAGGTCATAAGGGTAATATTAAAACACATTAGTCTTCATTCCGTACTTTTATTCATTCGATTCTTGATATTCTGGTGTCGGTGGTTGTAGGCTGCACTGCTCTTTAAGTTGGCTGGACAACGAGCAATAGGTATTTTTCGAGTGTTGCTTCTTTTTAAGCTTGTTTTCCTAATTCCATCTCTGCTACAAACCTGATTTGATTATCGTCAATTCAGTATTAGGCACGACAGTAGCTCCACCATCTCCTAATGGTGGTTATGAAATCGGCCTCGAGCAACTTGCTTCGATGAAAAGGGAACATAATATTACAGCACTGCAACAATATGGAGGGGTAACACTTCCTTTTTCCCTTCACCATCTCTCTAGGAAGTCTACTAACATATGCTATATGCATAAATATTAATCTCGACCGTCATTTTATTCAGGTTAAAGGGTTGGCAGAAATGATAAAAACAGACGTCGAAACAGGGATATATGGTGACGAAAATGAGTTATCACGAAGAAAGAATGCTTTCGGCTCAAACACGTATCCCGTGAAAAAGGAAGGAGTTTCTTGGTAAGACTTGTCTAGAGTGTTATATTTGTTTGATCATATGTTCTTACTTATACATTTCCACCATTTACTTATTCGACGTTTGTTTTTGCGCAGAGGTTCCTATGGGAAGCTTGGCAGGATCTGACTCTCATTATTTTAATAATAGCCGTTGTGGCCTCTTTGGCTCTCGAAATAAAAATCGAGGTTGGCTAGAAATACAACAATACCATATTATTAAGAGAATTTATATAATTTCCTTCATATATAATTTAAGAATTGCTCGTGTTTTCCAGGGCCTGGAGGAAGGATGGTACGACGGCGGAAGCATCACCTTTGCTGTTCTACTGGTTATTTTTGCTACAGGTTAGAAAATTCAGATTGGTTGTTTATAACCTTAAGAGAGAAGTAATATAATTTTCACTTTTTATCATTGCATCTGTTGTTCAGCAACTAGTGATTACCGGCAGTCCCTCCAGTTTCAAAATTTAAACGAAGAAAAACGGAACATCAAATTGGATCAAAATGAACATATGCACACTTGATTTGATTATTTGTTGACTTTGCAACTACGATTGATTTTCTTGCTCAGCGATTAAGAATGGTTGATCTGAAGCTAGGACTCCGGAAATGAGAAATCAATTGGATATTATACATTTTTTTTCCTTTTGGCAGACGGGGATGCATATATTTCGTCCGGTTAATTTAATTTCCTTAAAGTTGTTGGAATTTTTGTTTGTGTCAATATGATGCTTTTTAATTGAGGATTGAGTATCAAGGAGATAGCTATTTACTCATTCATTATCTGGATATTATACTATTATGGAGATTAACCATTTTCATTGGTTTTCTTGTTGCTCGTCTTCCTCCGATTTTTTGAACTGCATTTTTTAACTTTAATACGGTCCTCGGTGTCTTCTTCAAGCATCATTTCAAACTTATATTGACAGCTCATGGTGATCTTGTGAGTGAGAGCATTTTCAGGTTTGAAGTTCATTTGTATATTTCCTAAAATCTGCCTTTCTTGTTTCAATTGTTATTAGAATCTCCTTTGTTGCAATCTTCTAGACCGTTCAAGGTTCAACTTCGTGCCCTGCCTGGATAGGTTTGCAGAGGTAGCTCTTTAATGCGACTCATATTCTCAACAGTATAAATTGTTTAAAACTTTGCACCGCACAATTTTTCTTTCTCCTTTATTTTCGTTGTATATTCGAGTGCAATCAAACAGACAACTCCCATTTATTTTCACTTTTTTTTGGCGCTTTCTTCTCCGTGGACGAAGGCGATAGTTAGAGCAAGGGATATCCGACTACAAATGTTGCATGGGTTGATTTCAAGAAACTCAATAAAATCCTGGGAGTTGCACACAAAATTGGCTGATTCCTATAAAGAAGTTGTTGCCAATCTGAATATTGCCAACGCTCAACAGGTTCCTCTAAACCTTTCCACTCGCACAAAATTTTCGCTCTTGTTTTCTATTTGTGCTGGTTTATGCAATGCAATTATCCTGCTTGTTTATGCAATTCTTTAGTTGTTTTTGTTCTTTGCTGCTCTGATTCTTGTTTTTTGCTATCATGATATTGTCTGCTATATTGGTTAGTGAAATTTGCAGCCTAACTAGAAATTGTAGAAATTAGCTCAGTTCGAGGATACTATATTGAAACAGTTCGACTCCAAACAGGTTAATGGTTGCGCTTTTGCCATATATACATCTCTTCAATCCCTACTCTAATATTATTTTTTGTTCGCTGTAACGTTTCTGTATATTTTTTATTTTTTGGTTATCTGGCCTTCACATCTTACTTCACTCTGGCGTTTCTTCACCCTTCACCCGTAGATCAGTTCTTATTTGGAGTGCATTCTGCATCCATGGTTGCAGGGGAAAAGACGGCAGTCCTTGTTCGTCATCTGTGATCATGGATCTGCAATTCCTGTGCAACATGATCCTCTTTCGAGTACTGTATTTTGCACCTTTTGCGGGCCACTGCTTTTGCTACTTTTCATTTAGAATTTGTTTAATAGACACACATCGAAAGTTATGGACTGTGACTCGAAGTCTAATGTTATTTTGTGATCGAGGCTAGGGTGCCTCTGATTGGTTGGATTCTGAGTATTGTAGTGCCGAAAAACTTAAAATTAGATAGGTTGGAAATTCGTTCAATAACGAGTGTGAATATATGTAACTTCTGATATCGTTTCTTTCAGGGTGGTATTTTTTAATGAGTTACTGAAGAATTGATCATTTTATACCTAAAGTTAGTTTCATTTTAGTAATTCGTACTTATGATTCTTATGTTGAATGCCAGGTTTCTTCTTAAGCCATATGCACTAGGTTCGGAGCTGTTGGTGCAAACTTGGTTTGGCCTGTGCGTATTCTGATGATTATATCCTATCTTATTTCTTATCCAATCGGAAAGGTAATTTATATATCGCCGAAATGAAATCTCTCTTTACATGTTATTTAGTACTTCTATAGGCCTGAGTTCGGCGATTAATAATACTCCGGCAAAACAATCAACAAATGCGCTCGTGCAGTAAAACAAATTGAGAATCTATTATGGTAGTTTACTATTGATGGAATACTAATGTTTCTGAAAGTGCAAACCATAAGATATATATAACTGAAATTATATTAAAGAAAGCCCTACCTACTGTCCAAAACAGCAACACCACATTTAACATGCTTGTTAATAATATCACATAATAGAATAAGAAGTGGACTAGATTTTTTGAATCGAAGTTATCTGGATGTTGGATTTAGCAACCAGGCTGTACAGTGTTTTTTTCCATTTTATTTTTTGTAAAGACTGATCCATAACTGAAGAATTATATAGTTGATACTTTTCGAATTTTGTAAATTGTTTTTGGCAGAAACAACTGGTTCGAAGACATGTTGCACTAGGCAGGTTAGATCTCCGTTGCGAGAAATCATATTCCTGCATCAAAATTTCTCGGTACTTGCTTAAAAAATGTAAGGCTTCAATAATTTATACTTTTACTTTGTGTGTGTATATGTATATGCATGTTGCCTTGTGTTATTACTCATTTATTGGGTTGATCATATATATCAGGTATGGAAATATGTGGAGTGGCTGCGGATTGAGGTGGGCTAATTATCTAAGGCATAACATTTCATTCTATGTCGATTGAAAAGCTTAAATGAAGCAAAAAACTCCTTTCAAATTTGTTTCCAACAAAGTTAGTTGCGGCCGATTTTGCATATTTCTTCGGTCCTTTTGTTTTCTTGGAATTATGGAGTAGTCGGTGTATGCCATTATCTTCTTTCTAATAAATTCTTGCTTTCTTTATATCTAATGGAATATAATGGAGCTTGCTTTGTTTCTGTTGAACTTTTCATATAGTTGTGACCATTTTTTCTGCTTCTTGCATGCTTGTTTGATTCCTGTGGGAGTTAGTTTCCTCTGGTAATAGTTGGACTTTAAAAGAGTGAATTATTTATGTCTATATCTTTATGTTCGTGATTTTTTCAATTATTTAGTTTTTGACTCGATAGTTAATTCTAAATGTATGATGATAGGAGTCACAACATGGGCTTCAAATATAGGATTTAATCTAATCGAATGCTATTTTCATACTTCGACTGAATTCATGTTGACTTTCTTAATTGAAACTTGGCTAAATAACACAATGAAAAATTACTTTTTTTCTTTTTTTTTTTCTTTTTTTTTCTGATTGTGTTTAGGCATAATATTTTGCCCTGGTACTTTGGCTTTATACGAGAAAATATGCTACAAAACTACCTCATTGATTTCAAATTGTTGCAACTCTATTGACCTTCTTGCTGGACAAAGAGCCGAAGTTTCAGTCATCTTTCCAATCGCTCCACTCAAATTGCAAATTTAACCCCAAAGTGGATCTCTCTTGCAATATAAGAAATATCCGCTACCAACGCATTATGCTTCTATTCTTTCTCAGCTATAATCGTGTGTGATTCATTTACGAAAATTCGCAATACCGAGTTTAAAATCTTATGATTTACGATTCAAACCGTTCATACCTCAGTCTATTCAAAAGTTAAAATAAATCTTAAATATCAACAAAACAATCAAATTTTACAATTTACGATTTAGGAAAACTATAATGTATTATATTATTTATAATAAACTTGCGATAATTACAGTTTTTGTCCCTATATTATATACAGTTTTTTATTTTGGTCCTTAAACCAGAAATGCCCCCAAGTGGAGGTCAATTAGTAATTTCTGAAAATCCACCTACCTGGCTGAAAATTGCAGAATCACCACTATACTTACTCCATCTTCCTAGCCGCTCCACCCAAATTGCAAATTTGACCCCAAAGTGGATCTCTCTTTCAACATCCAAAATTTCCGCTACATTTATGAAAGTTCGCAATTCCGAGCATAAAATCTTATGATTTACGATTCAAATCATACGATTGAATTCATCCATATCTATGTCAATTCAAATGTTAAAATAAATCTCAAATATCAAAAACTCGATTTAATTTTACGAATTTTGGTCCCTATATAGTATACCTTTCTTTTATTTTTTGGTCCTTCAACTAGAAATGCACCCCAAGTGGGGGTGAATTTGTAATATCTGGAAATTCACTCCCTGGCTGAAATAATTTTGAAAATTGCAGAATCACCCATATACTTACTTCATCTTCCCAGATGCTCCACCCAAATTGCAAATTTAACCCCAAAGTGGATCTCTCTTGCAATATCCGAATTATCCACCACTAACGTAGTACGCTTTTACTACTCCTCAGCTATAAATGCGTGTATCTCATTCACGAAAACTTGCAATACCGAGTATAAAATCTTATGATTCACGATTCAAATCTTACAATTCAATTCGTTCATACCTAGGTCAATTCAAAAGTAGATTGAATTTATTATATTATTTATAATAAACTTATGATGATTACAGATTTGGTCCCTATATTATATACCATTTTTAATAGCGGTCCTTTAACCGGAAATGCCCCCAAGTGGAGGTCAATTTGTAATTTTCGAAAATCCACTCCCTAACTCAAACAGCTCTGAAAATTGCAGAATCACTCCTATACTTACTCCATCTTCTTAGCCGCTCCACCAAAATTGCAAATTTGACCCCAAAGTGGATATCTCTATCACTATCCAAAATATCCGGCACATTTATGAAAATCTGCAATACCGAGCACAAAGTCTTATGATTTACGATTCATATCTTACAATTCAATTCATTCACATCTATGTCGATTGAAATGTTAAAATAAATCTTAAATATCAACTAATCGATCAAATTTTACGATTTTTGGTCCCTATATTATTATACCTTTTTTTTTGTTCCTTAAACCAGAAAAGCACCCCAGTAGGGTCAATTTGTAATTTCTAGAAATCCACCTCGCTGACTAAAACAATTTTGAAAATTACAGAATCACCCCTATACTTACTCTATCTTCGCACCAGCTCCACCCAAATTGCAAATTTAACTCCAAAGTGGATCTCTCTTGCAATATTCGAAATATCCGCCACCAACGCAGTATACTTTACTACTCCTCAGCTATAAACGCGTGCGACTCATTTACGAAAATTCGCAATACCGAGTATAAAATCTTATGATTTACGATTCAAATATTACAATTTAATTCGTTCATACCGAAGTCAATTCAAAGGTAAAAATAAATCTTAAATATCAACAAAACGATCAAACTTTACGATTTACGATTTAAAAAAACTTTAATTTATTATATTATTATAATAAACTTATGATAATTATAGATTTGGTCCCTATATTATATATCATTTTTAATATCGATCCTTAAATCGGAAATGCCCCCATGTGGAGTTCAATTTGTAATTTTCAAAAATCCACATCCCTTGCTGAGACAGTTCTGAAAATTGCAGAATCACCCCTATACTTGCTCCATCTTCTTGGCCGCTCCATCCAAATTTCAAATTTGACTCCAAAGCGGATCTCTCTTTGACTATCTAAAATATCCGCCACATTTACGAAAATCCGCAATACCGAGCACAAAATCATATGATTTACGATTCAAATCTTACGATTCAATTCATTCATATCTGTGTCGATTGAAATGTTAAAATAAATCTTAAATATCAACTAATCGATCAAATTTTACTATTTTTTATCCCTATACGATTATACCTTTTTTTTAATATTGTTCCTCAAAACAAGAAATGCACCCTAGTGGGCGTCAATTTGTAATTTCTGGAAATCTACCTCGCTGACTGAAACAGTTTTGAAAATTGCAGAATCTTCACTATACTCACTCCATCTTCCCATCCGCTCCACCCAAATTGCAAATTTAACCCCAAAATGGATCTCTCTTGCAATATCCAAAATATCCGACACCAACGCAGTATGCTTTGACTTTGCCTCGTCTATAATCGCGTGTGACTCATTTATAAAAAATCGCAATACCAAGTTTAAAATCTTATGATTTGAGATTCAATTCTTACGATTCAATTCGTTGATACCTAAGTCGATTCAAAAGTTAAAATAAATCTTAAATATCAACAAAACAATCAAATTTTACAATTTACGATTTAAGAAAACTTTAGTTTATTATATTACTTATAATAAACTTGCGATAATTACAGTTTTTTGTCCCTATATTATATAGAGTTTTTAATATCGGTCCTTAAACCGGAAATGCCCCCAAGTGGTGTTCAATTTGGAATTTCCGAAAATCCACCTCCCTGGCTGAAACATTTTTGAAAATTGCAGGATGACCCCTATACTTGCTTCATCTTCTTAGCCGCTCCACCCAAATTGCAAATTTGACCCCAAAATGGATCTCTCTTTCATTATCCAAAATATCTGCCACATTTATGAAAATCCGCAATACCGAGCACAAAATTTTATGATTTACGATTCAAATCTTACGATTCAGTTCATTCATATATGTGTCAATCGAAATGTTAAAATAAATCTTAAATATCAACTAATCGATCAAATTTTACGATTTTTAATCACTATATTATTATACATTTTTTTAGTATTGTTCCTTTAACCAGAAATGCACCCCAGTGGGGGTCAATTTGTAGTTTTCTGGAAATCTACCTCGCTGACTGAAACAATTTTGAAAATTGCAGAATCACCCCTATACTTACTCCATCTTCCCAGCCGCTCCACCCAAATTGCAAATTTAACCCCAAAGTGGATCTCTCTTGCAATATCCGAAATATCCGACACCAACGCAGTATGCTTTGACTCCTCCTCGTCTATAATCGCGTGTGACTCATTTATAAAAATTCGCAATACCGAGTTTAAAATCTTATGATTTAAGATTCAATTCTTACGATTCAATTCGTTGATACCTAAGTCGATTCAAAAGTTAAATAAATCTTAAATATCAACAAAACAATCAAATTTTACAATTTACGATTTAAGAAAACATTAGTTTATTATATTATTTCTAATAAACTTGCGATAATTACAGTTTTTTGTCTCTATATTATATAGAGTTTTTAATATCGGTACTTAAACCGGAAATGCCCCCAAGTGGTGTTCAATTTGGAATTTTCGAAAATCCACCTCCCTAGCTGAAATATTTCTGAAAATTGCAGAATGACCCCTATACTTGCTTTATCTTCTTAGCCGCTCCACCTAAATTGCAAATTTGACCCCAAAGTGGATCTCTCTTTCACCATCCAAAATATCCGCCACATTTATGAAAATCCGCAATACCGAGCACAAAATTTTATGATTTACGATTCAAATCTTACGATTCAATTCATTCATATCTGTGTCGATCGAAATTTTAAAATAAATCTTAAATATCAACTAATCGATCAAATTTTACGATTTTTGATCCCTATATTATTATACATTTTTTTAATATTGTTCCTTAAACCAGAAATGCACCCCAGTGGGGGTCAATTTGTAGTTTCTGGAAATCTACCTCGCTGACTGAAACAGTTTTGAAAATTGCAGAATCACCACTATACTCACTCCATCTTCCCACCCGCTCCACCCAAATTGCAAATTTAACCCCAAAATGGATCTCTCTTGCAATATCCGAAATATCTGACACCAACGCAGTATGCTTTGACTCCTCCTCGTCTATAATCGCGTGTGACTCATTTATAAAAAATCGCAATACCGAGTTTAAAATCTTATGATTTACGATTCAATTCTTACGATTCAATTCGTTGAAACCTAAGTCGATTCAAAAGTTAAAATAAATCTTAAATATCAACAAAACAATCAAATTTTACAATTTACGATTTAAGAAAACTTTAGTTTATTATATTATTTATAATAAACTTGCGATAATTACAGTTTTTTGTCTCTATATTATATAGAGTTTTTAATATCGGTCCTTAAACCGGAAATGCCCCCAAGTGGTGTTCAATTTGGAATATCCGAAAATCCACCTCCCTGGCTGAAACAGTTTTGAAAATTGCAGGATGACCCCTAGACTTGCTTCATCTTCTTAGCCGCTCCACTCAAATTGCAAATTTGACCCCTATGAAAATCCGCAATACCGAGCACAAAATTTTATGATTTACGATTCAAATCTTACGATTCAATTCATTCATATCTGTGTCAATCGAAATGTTAAAATAAATCTTAAATATCAACTAATCGATCAAATTTTACGATTTTTAATCCCTATATTATTATACATTTTTTTAGTATTGTTCCTTAAACCAGAAATGCACCCCAATGGGGGTCAATTTGTAGTTTCTGGAAATCTACCTCGCTGACTGAAACAATTTTGAAAATTGCAGAATCACCCCTATACTTACTCCATCTTCCCAGCCGCTCCACCCAAATTGCAAATTTAACCCCAAAGTGGATCTCTCTTGCAATATCCGAAATATCCGACACCAACGCAGTATGCTTTGACTCCTCCTCGTCTATAATCGCGTGTGACTCATTTATACAAATTCGCAATACCGAGTTTAAAATCTTATGATTTAAGATTCAATTATAACGATTCAATTCGTTGATACCTAAGTTGATTCAAAGTTAAATAAATCTTAAATATCAACAAAACAACCAAATTTTACAATTTACGATTTAAGAAAACTTTAGTTTATTATATTATTTATAAAAAACTTGCGCTAATTACAGTTTTTTGTCCCTATATTATATAAAGTTTTTAATATCGGTCCTTAAACCGGAAATGCCCCCAAGTGGAGGTCAATTTGTAATTTTCAAAAATCCACCTCCCTGGCCGAAACGGCTCTGAAAATTGTAGAATCACCCCTATACTTACTCCATCTTCTTAGCCGCTCCACCCAAATTGCAAATTTAACCCCAAAGTGGATATCTCTATCACTATCCAAAATATCCCCACATTTAGAAAAATTCGCAATACCGAGCACAAAATCTTATGATTTACAATTCAAATCTTACGATTCAATTCATTCATATCTATGTCGATTGAAATGTTAAAATAAATCTTAAATATCAACTAATCGATCAAATTTTACGTTATTTGGTCCCTATATTATTATACTTTTTTTTTTAATTTTGTTCCTTAAACCAGAAATGCACCAGTGGGGTCGCACGGTTGCCCTTGCTATAAGGGTCGACCCGCCTACCCAATTTTATACTCCTAACCAGACGTTGGTAAGACATTTCCCAGACTTTATCGCCTACAGATTACGGGATGACATGGATCGAGTACAAATCTTAAGAAACCAGTCAGAAGAGGTCATCACCGAGCAAAACGAAATTATAACAAGCCTCGAGTCACGGTTGGACGAGGTGGAAACGGAAATACAAAAACACAACATACACATTGGAGTGCTACAGGTCGAGAGAGCAGAGCAACAAACAATGATGAATCAACAACAACATGAGATAGAAAGTATTAGTCGAGCCCTTCAAATGGCAAATCAACAAAATGTTCAGCTGCGACGAGCACTAGCACGAATTGTACGCCACTTTACTGATCAATTTGTACAGATAAGGCACAGTATGCGTGCCCTGACCCAACGTGCATGCAAGGTCTGCTGTCCAACGTGGATATGTACTTGCTTCACGGTCGCTGGGAAACGACCATCGTGACCTAATAGAGTCTGGTACCAGTACAGCTGCCAATCAGACTTTTGGTTACATGGCGGCAGCTACAGATTCGGAAGAAGACCCGGAGGAGAACATACCCAATGGAGTTAGAAGTCCTTGATAGACCCAGTGATTCTTTTTTGCATCTTTTGACACCAATGTGCATGGTGGGTATATATATCTGCGATGATGAACTGGTACAATGCACAGTGTAGTGGTTTTATGTATATATATATATGTAAATACTGCGTACGACCAATATAAAGTATGAATGTAAATAGTTAATATGATTATCTATATAAGTATATAACTCATGCAGCTTTTCTAAATTATACTTGGGGTTTCTTACAACTACCACAACACTTCACTCTAAAATTCAACTTCTTCAAGTTAAAGCAGCAACACCCTGTCTCACAATATACAATGCTCTGTTTTAATGTGATCCTTATATTCAGTCTTCTAATATTATCAGGATATGGGGCAACTTCGACGTAGCATATCATCAACCCCTTCAAACTCACGACAACATAAACAAAACATATTTTGCAAATATATAAACCGGGCACCGGCACCGCGCATTGCGCGGTGCTCCAAAACTAGTATATATATATATATATATATATGGACTGACTTGTATGAAATCATAATTTCGATTTAAATATCGGCATTTATTTTTTGGAATTTTATTGGCCAACTTTGATTTTCAAGTTTGCTCTTTGAATCTATTTTTTCATTTATGTTAAATTGCTTACCCTTCCATGGTTAACATTCGGTTGGTAGTTATGCAGATGACTAGAATTTGAGATCAAGATGATATAACTCTTTTAATATAAAGCAGTGCCTTTCTCCTGTTTGATGAAATGCCTCAACCAAATGCAAACTCAAGACTCAGTGGTTGAAATAAGTATTAGTTGATTTCCTTCCTCAAACCGCTCCATTTTGCATACAATGTGTATCTATGCTTGAAGATCATAAGGGAAGCTAATTAGTTGTGGGGTTAATGTGCTAATAATAATGTTTTTTTTTTTTTCGTTTTATGAAATGCGACAGGTCCTATTGAATATAAACTGCTCTCCAACAATTTCCCAGTCTCCTGATGGCGATTACGACAGTAAGTATTTTTTATTTTGAAAATTCCATATGTTGAGAAGAATATGAGTACAAATATTGAACTTTTCAAATGCACCAGTTTGGCTTCTACAATTAAACTAAAATCCTATTGAGTTTCCCATATATTTAATTCATCATGTTTGACTCAACTACTCACATGGCGAAAAACATATAAAGAAAAAAAAAAAAAGGATTTATGTTCAAAGGATTATATTTAAGACGCAGAGGGACTCAAAGTAGGTGTAGTTCTTGTAGTTTTTGTATGTAGATTATCAAATGGATCATGCACAGTTGATCCAAATTCTGTTTGCTGCTCTTTGTTTTCAAACCTTTTCAGAATTTATTCTTGGAGCTAATAATTCACTTTATCCGAACCAAACTCTTTCTGATGGAGATACACTAATTTCTCCAAGCCAAATATTCGAGCTAGGATTCTTCTCACCGGGTGCATCCAAAAGCAGTTTTCTTGGGATATGGCATAAAGCTACACCAGATATCATTATTTGGGTTGCAAACAGAAAAAATCCGATTATCGAATCACATGGATTCTTGATTCTGAGCAATGACGGACTGCTGATTCTCAATACATCTCGGAGCTCACTTATTTGGTCATCGAATATATCCGGGCCTGTATCAAGCCCGGTTCTTCAGCTTTTGGATAATGGAAACCTGGCTCTTGTAGAAGATTCCACGACCGATAAAAGTAATTACATTTGGCAGAGTTTCGATTATCCATGTGACACCAGGGTACCAGGGTTGAAGCTGATGCAAAACCCTGATACTGGTGTGGAAAAATACTTGACTTCTTGGAAAAGTGCCGAAGATCCATCTCCTGGAGATTTCATTTACAGGATCGAAAACCGTGGATTTTCCCAAATGGTGATTCGAAAGGGTAGCAAGAAAGTGTACAGAAGTGGCGCGTGGAATTTCAACGGTGATTTCTTCACTGGAGTCAACCAGTTCCCCGAGCCATCTTGGAATGTCAAAACGGTCTTCGAAAAGGGTATGTTGATTTCAATCTCCGACCCTTACAACGAATCGTACGTCACGAGAATGACAATCACTTCTACGGGTTTTGTTCAACGCTACTTGATGAACGATAAAAGAGACTCTTGGAGATTAATGTATGAAGTGCCGGGAGATTATTGCGATAACTACGGGCGGTGTGGTCCTAATGGCATCTGCAGAATGCACGAAAACCCAGAGTGTGAGTGTTTGAAGGGATTTGTTCCGAAATCTTTAAACGAATGGTCCGTATTCGACTGGAGCGGTGGGTGCGTTAGATCTGCACCGTTGGATTGCGAGAAGGAAGACGGGTTTCTAAAGATGGAAGGAGTAAAGTTTGCTGACCCACTGATCTTCATAGAGAACTCGAGTATGGGCCTTAGTGAATGCCGTGATGAGTGCTTAAAGAACTGCAACTGCACCGCTTATGCGGATCAGTACAGAAGTGATGTCAGCAGTGGATGTTTTATGTGGTTAGGGGACTTGATCGATCTCAAATTGTTCGGTGCAGATTTTAGTACAGTGCCGTATATCTATATCCGCGTGCCTATTTCAGAACTTGGTACGTGAAAATATGTTTACTGAACTTGTATTGTTTCTTGGAATGATCTAATAGTTGGCTGTTTATTGAAGGAGGAAATACGACTGATTGGAAAAAGAAGACGAATGCAACCCCTGAAAAGGTCATATTTATAGCAATAGGTTCTGTTTTTGCTGTGCTTGTGTTAGGCTTATTATTTGCATGCATGCTTCTGAGGATGAGACGCAAGAGACAAGGTTATTACATTATCGATCCTTTGTTGTTTTTCATTCGATTGACAATCATGTGTTAAGAATTAAGGAGCCTTTACAAGAGACAAATAGAAAACTTTTTTTGACAGATTTGAAGAGGAAAAGAGAGGAATTGGGGTTACCTTTATATGCACTGGCAACCATTGCAGCAGCCACAAACAACTTTTCGGTTGAAAACTTGATTGGAGAAGGTGGTTTCGGACCGGTTTACAAGGTATTAAAAATGGCCATTTGATTTTTGAGCAAATAATACAGATGATTAGAGATAACTTGTTATATAAATAGATAATAAATCTTGCAGGGGAACTTATCGGGAGAACAAGTAATTGCAGTGAAAAGAATGTCGAGAAATTCCAGACAAGGCACCGAAGAGTTCAAAACCGAAGTGATCTTGATAGCCAAACTCCAACACAGGAACCTCGTCAGAATATTGGGGTGTTGCATTCAAGGAGAGGAGAAGATGTTAGTCTATGAGTACATGCACAACAAAAGCTTGGACTATTTCATTTTCGGTTTGACCAAAACGAAACTTCTATTTCAATTAGTTATTAAGTTATGTATTATAACTACTACAGAAATCCACTCAAATTCTTTGACATGTTGTTGCAGATCAAGAACGAAGTGTGTTATTGACTTGGCCAAAGAGATTTGATATTATTATGGGGATCGCGAGAGGGCTTCTTTATCTCCATCACGATTCGAGACTAAAAGTTATCCACAGAGACTTGAAAACGAGCAATATTTTACTAGACGAGGGCTTGAATGCAAAGATATCTGACTTTGGTTTAGCTAGAATGTTGGAAGGAGATGAGACCACTTCAAGAACAAAAAGAATTGTCGGAACATAGTAAGTAACTATTAGCACAGCAAATAAAATATATGTTTTTATTAGTTTCGTACAAAACCCTAATGAAAAATAAAAGCCTGTTAATTGCAGCGGTTACATGGCTCCAGAATACGCCTTTGACGGAAAATTCTCAATAAAATCGGACGTTTACAGCATGGGAGTTGTTATATTGGAGATAGTGAGTGGTAAGAGGAACAGAGGCTTCAAAATTCCTGCTTACTATAGTAACCTTTTGGAACAAGCATTTTTGCTTTGGAAGGAAAACAGAGAATTGGAGCTAATGGATCCGTGCTATAAAGATTCGTTCGATGAATCGCAAGTAAAGAGATGCATTCAAGTGGGATTATTGTGTGTCCAGAAACAAGCACAAGAAAGGCCTGTAATGCCTACTGTGCTTCTAATGTTAAGTACCGACGATACAAAGTTTCCTCCGCCCAACGAACCGGGATTTTTCTCGGGGAGTTGTTCGAATACTGCACCGATTATTGCATCAGAATGTAAAGAGGCGAGTATTGGAGTAATAACCATGACTCAAGAACAAGGAAGATAGTTGCTGCATACTTTATTATTTATTTCTTTAACACAACAGAATTTGAAGGTTGGACTGAATTTATAAATTCTTCTCATTTGCACATTTTATGTAGCATTATAGTTGGTTGATAGTATTGCATTCAATGGTCAAATTTGGGGCATAAATTGGAAAACAATTTTTGAATTCAACTGAGTCCTGGACAATATTTTTCATATATTGATGGAGGTCGATTTAACCACCATCAACATTGGCTCTTCTCGAACACCTTTCCCGGTCTCGATCGCCGGAAAATTGCTCCGTTCACCTGAAATCCCGGGGCTTGAGCCCCGGGGAGATCATCCGACACTCAAGTTAATTGGGGAAATAATTCTAGAGAGAGTAAAATGATAGGAAAAAGAAATAGAGAAGAAGACGATGTGAGATCTCTGATTTGATCGTGTATTTTAGTGTGTGTAAAATAAAGCGTACCTTCTATGGTGGAGAATATGGAGTATTTATAAGTCATACCTACTCTTGAGGCTTTGACCTAATTTTGAGCCCATTAAACATGATAAAATTGGGTTATGGCAATGAAATCCAATCCCAAAAATTTACATGAGCCCAATAGATTGCTAAATTGGCCATCATCATATACTCCCCCTAGTCTCTAGTGATCCGAACGTAGTGGTTCACTAGAGACTATAAATAGAAGTCCGAAATCCATAGGAGAAATCCAATAGCCGAACTCCATGAGAGAACCAATAAGTGAACGCCATATAAGACCAATAAGCGGGGACCATTTAAGAAGTCCAATAAGAGAGGATATCCGGTAATTGAAGACCATATAATAGAAGACCAATAATGTTTCGGGGGTCGGCTCGGTTTAAGAGCTCGGCCGATCACCTCCGGGATTTTCAACCTCATAGATAATATGTTTTTGGATGTCCCCCAGGACTTTCAACCGTTAATTTTGATCATCGAGGATTTCGAACCTTTATTTTAATCGCATGTAGTTTTATTTTTATGCACATGGGACGGCTTGATACCGGTTAATAATAGAATATTTCGTGAGTTGAGGTAAGCTCCTAGGGAGTCGATAACCCTTGGCGAACGAAATGTATTTGGGGCACGGTAAACCCCTAGGGAGTCGATAATCCTTGGCCAACGAAATGTTTTGGGGCACATCAGTAAACTCCCAGGGAGTTGATAATCCTTGGAGAACGAAATGTTTTAGGGGCACAGCAGTAAACCCCCCAGGGAGTCGATAACCCTTGGAGAATAAAATGTTTTGGGGGTACAGTAAACCCCAGGGAGACGATAACCCTTAGCGAACGAAATATTTTGGGGTACAGGAAACCCCCAGGGAGTCGATAACCCTTGGCGAACGAAATGTTTCGGGGGCGGAGGTATGCCAATGATTGCAAAAAATAGTGTGCACATATTCTCAATCCTTCAAAGACCACCCGTAAACATTGAATACCAATTTATTCAAAGATTTCAGCTTACAAAGAAAGCAATAGAAACTCAATAACTCAGAAGTTTAGGAAAATATCAAATAACAAGGATTAGTTGCACATAAACTTTTACAAATACCAATGGAGGCAACTATAATTATAAAAAATATTGAACATGATCAGACTTCAGAATTCTTTTAACATGCACATAAGAATAAGTGGAGCATATCAAGCATAAAGGTATTGCGAAAAACTTATCTCCTATCGTTTGTTACACGGATATGTAAGTTGACCAAAGAACGAATCCGGGCGAAGAGAACCCGCAAGAATAACAAGAGAACCCCATCTCATAAAAAATCCAGATCTGGCGGGAGCAAGAGAATAAACAAAATAAACGCTAACGATGAGAACTCAGACATCGAGTAATTCGAGAACTCCTTAGTTGAAAAACCTAGCTCAAAATCCATAAAACATGTCAGCCGCCACCGTAGATGAATTTTGGTCATCTTCCTTCTATTTTTTCTTGTTATTATTTAGCAGCAAGATCCTATAATCCACAATAATGCTAATTGTTCTTCCTCCTTTTTTCTTTAAACCGAGAATTGATGTATAAGAATTTTCCCTGTTTATCGATGACCCTCACGTCTTATGCTCAATTCGAATTTCCCACAGACGGCGTCATTTGATGGAGGTCGATTTAACCACCATCAACATTGGCTCTCCTCGAACACCTCCCCAATCTCGATTGTCAGAAAATTGCTCCGTTCACCTGAAATCCCGGGGCTTGAGCCCCGGGGAGACCCTCCGACGCTCAAGTTAATTGGGGAAATAATTCAAGAGAGAGTAAAATGATAGGAAAAAGAAATAGAGAAGAAGACGATGTGAGATCTCCGATTTGATAGTGTATTTTAGTGTGTGTAGGAGTGTGTAATGTGTGTAAAATAAAGCGTACCTTCTATGGTGGAGAATATGGAGTATTTATAAGATATACCTACTCTTGAGGCTTTGACCTAATTTTGAGCTCATTAAACATGATAAAGTTGGGTTATATATGGCCCACCAATGAAATCCAATCTCAAAGATTTACATGAGCCCGATAGAATGTTAAATTGGCCATCATCATTATATATATATATATATATTAGCAAGCACCACGTGCGTTGCACGTGATTACGTATGATTTACTTGTTATATACGGGATAATTATATTTTTCATCGTTATACTTCACCACTCATTCATTTGTCGTCCCCAAACAAGTTAGAGTGACATTATTCGTCTCTAAACATACCATTTTTTTGCCCTTTCCGTCCTGCCGTTAATTCTTGTTGTTACTTTGGATGAAAATCTGATGTGGACTTCAAAATCTCAAATATGCTACTGACATGGATAGTATTATTTCGACTTTGCATGAAATATCCATATTTGAACTCAAAATATGCAGTGAAATTACCTTTTGCAATATCGGCGTGCGCACAAACTTTAGAATTAATTAATATAGAAATTATGCAACTACGTCTATTTTTTTTTAGTTGTTTTCGATATGATTTTCTGTTTTTCTATTCAATTAAAAAAATAGTAGAAACGATTTTTAGTTGTTTCCGCTGATTTTTGTTCTTCTATTCGATATTATTAGAGACGATTGAAGATTGCATCAATTAAAAACATGTTTGAATAAAATATGGATTAATATCCCCTACGCGGAACATATTTTTTTGTTTAAATGAGTAGTTAACATCAATTTCTTCCAATGTAGAGATAATGACTTATAATGGTAGGCAATCTAAATTAAATTTTACACAACTGCAAATCGACAACATGTGACAAAACAAAGAATTCTTGTTAAGTAGCTTAACACATTATAAATTTCATTCAACATACCCAAATATATTTATCCTGTTTAGGGAAAATGAGGGATAAGAGCTCAGATCCATTTTATAATTGGACCTTTGTAAAGAAATCCTAAACTGATATGATAAATTGTTAGACCCCCCTTTCTGCCCTTTTTTTTCCATGTTTTTCTCCTTATTTTCTCCATCTTTCTCTCTCTTTCCATTATTTACGTGAGTTTTTCTTTCTCTTTTTTTCCCTTTTCTCTCTCCACTTTCTATTCACTATCTCATTTCTCATCAAACATCACCACGTATCTTTACTCTCTCTCTTTCTCTCTCTTCCCTATCTCTTCTTCCTCTTTCTCTGTAATCATCTCCATCAATTTCTTTTTTCTTTCATTATTTTTCTCTCTTTTTGAATCACCTATTTTATTAATTAAATAATTTCACATTATTGGTTTTTAAATTTTATCTCTCCTACATGTCAAAATAGTGTCTTTTTATAGGTTAATGAGTTTCCTTTTTTATAGACAATATTTTGATAAAAAAAAACCGTAGGACTTAATGCAATTTTTATTATTTTCACATATTATTATATTTAAATTAATATAGATAAATCCGGAAATTATATCAATTAGATAAATCCGGAAATTATATCAATTTAAGTTAATTACTTTATTTGTTACCTTTATTACATTCCTTAACTCTCCTATAAATTACCATTCAACACATTCACCCTCTTCAACTTTTCCATATACATTTTTTCTATTTCGGAGATATGGAGAGAATTCTTGAGAAAGAATTGCTCTGGTATCACCTACATGCAATGGTATATTTCATTTAGTCCCTTTTGTAGTATAATTTTAATTTATTGCTTTAAATTGTATTTGATTTCTTCATTCAATTCTATATGCAGCCTTTGAGAAAGAAAAAGGTGGTTACGAGTTTGAGAAAGAAAAAAAGGTGGTTACGAGAGTGTGAGCAATTTGATTTCTTGCTTTTAGCTGATGACGAGTTTGAGAAAGAAAAAGGTGGTTACGAGAGTGATGAACCCGAAGAGGAGCTTGAAGAGGATGTTGAAGCTCCGAAGAAACGAAAACGAAAAGCAGAAGATAAAATTGAAGGCTCTAAGTAAGTGTTTTTTTTGCGTTTGTTTTATGCGGTTTTTATTCGAGTATGTGTGATGTAGTTATGTTCTTTAATGCGTTTTAGGTTTCAAATATTGTTTCTCTTAGGAAGAAGAAGAAACGACGTACTGAGGCTACAGGAACCGTTGAGGACAATGCTCCAACGGGAAAGCTTGAGGGCTCTCTTCATGCGGGAGAGCATTCAAAGAAGAAGAAGAAACGTTCTCCTCGTAAGGAGAAAAACAATGGTTCTGATGCCGAAGATAGAGTGGAGGAAAATGAGAAAACGGATAAATTCATTGACGAGAATGACACGTATGTTTTCTTTCTGGAAACTTTATGTTTGAATGGTTAGAATACTAGTTTCAAGAGAAGTCTAGAACGAGAAAACCTAGTACGGATTTTAGCATGTCAAGAACGTAAATTATTTCCAAACAAAGAAGCCGGCTTAGGGTTGTGCCCCTAGGTTGAGGAATAAGGAACATTCTTTAGGAAAAAAAATATACAAATTGTTGTTATTTTGTAACTGCTGCATGAAATGCTGGCATTTCTGACCAGTCAGTACGCATCTCGGGCTGTTGGTTTAGTATTCGGTTTGCCATTTTAATTGTGCTGACTGCTAATAAAAAATGCCCGTATCGGTTCCTTCTTGTTCTTGTTCTTATTTTCCTATCTTCAGACAACACGCTTGACTGTATTTCAGCATTTCTTTCTATGGGTATATTATATATTTGGACGACCATTCTTTCATTATTTTTTTTTATTTTTTATTTTTGAATGTTTGTCATGCACGCATATCTGCAGAAACGCGAACACTTTCTTACACGCCTAACTTATGTGCATGAATTGAGAAATCGAAATTGCAATGGACACGAGCATCCAACTCAAAATGTTGGTGGAGTTGAGCAGCCAAATGAAAAACAGGGTGATGTACGAGAACAACCAGGTCAAAAAAGTGATGTCGTAAAAGAACTTCCAAAGCAAAACTTTGATGCACCGAAACAGTTAAATGAAGAAAGTGACGAGGAGGGTGAAATTGTTCCCTTGTAATCAGGCCTGGACACATCCCTTGTTCCCTTTTTTCTCTTTATGCATACCTATGTTTGCTCATATTACGACGCTTTTAGTTAACATTGAATCTTTATTCATCCAGTTAGGTGAATGACAGATGTACGATTCGCAAAAATCAATTCCTTAGATTTAAAATTAAGAAAAAAGTTTTCGTTGTCCTTCTGATTTATTCCTAGGAGGGACTGGCATTCTTTCGATTTTTTTTCTTCTCCCTTTGTTCCTAAAGTTCATATTGTAGATCACATAGTGAATTAGATTTTCATATTTTGATGCAGAACAAGCAAAATGACGTACCTTCAGTAAGTTTTATTGGTTTCATTGCATATTTGGATGTTGGTTACGACAATATATTTACACTGTTTTGTCTCCTTCTCGAGTTAGGATCATATTATGAAGTTTTTTGTTTGTTTGAGTACATTAGTTTGTATTTTGCCTTAAAAGTCGACCCTTCGTAAAAGTGTGCATAGTTTGTCAAACTTTTTGTCATCTCACCAGATTAAGAAAAAATATTTTCTAATTTAATCTGACATCGTTTATCCACTCTTGTATCATTCTTTAGTAATTACGGCTTGGGGGTTCGAACGAGTAAGAAAACGATTATTAAAAGACTTGTACAATTTAAAAGTCCCCTCGTTTCCTTTTTGCCTTAGTGATGTTTCTCAATTAATTTTACTTCTAGTCCTGTAAGTTGGTCTAGTTAGGGATTTTTAGTCCTAAAAAATGCTCCCGAAACAAAATTTTCTTCGTTGATCACCGACACGCCAAACAAACTCCTCGGATTTTGTTTACAATAGATACTTGAAAAATTTCGAGGTACCATGAATTAAACGTGCAAAACCAGAAGTCTATTAACACAATCTTAGAGAATGAATATATATATATATATATATATATATATATATATATATATATATATATATATATATATATATATATAAGTTTTAAGTTTTCAGACAATTAAAATTCTGCGATTTTGACAAAAGTGGACTAAAAGCGCTAAATTTGCAAAATTATTGCATGTAAAATTAATACGAGACAATCTAAAGGATTAAACTCCTAAATACACCCCCCCACTTCTGCAGGTACTTAAAATGTTTCTTCACATAATATAGTTTATTAATTTCATTCGTTTGGATTACGTTTGACACTATTTATTGTTGTTGTTGTAGAAACTGGTGGCGCGAGGCGGTGGTCTTGCCTCAACAATGGCTATGATAAGATCGAAAAAGGATGTGTGGGGTTAGAAATTAGTTTTTACTCGAGCGTGTATTCGTGTTAAGCTTTTTTTATGTTTCTAAGTTGAAACTTCTTTGTTTGGTTTTCTTTCTTTTTGTGGTCAAGCTTTTTGGAGTATGTAAAATGGTAAATCTTTAGGTTTCTTGTAAATTGCAGAACGGGAAGCTGACGAAAATTTGTAATCTTATGCTTCGTTTGGTTGGTAAGACGAGTCACGGTTAACTACAAATGAGGTCTTGTTTGGTTAATAACTTATTATGAAATTTTATCTTGACTAATTTCATTTGGGGAATCAAACGAGCCCTAAGGAATTAATTGTATAGTTGGATTATTAGGGGTTTTTTTGGTTATCTATATATGATTAGATTGAATTAAATGAGATTCGAGTAACTCCACTAATTAATTATTTAATTAGTTAAAAGTTCGGTTTCTTAAATTAGATCTTCTATTAAATTTGTTAAATTCGGTTATTTTATATAAATTGTCCATACAGCCACTTTGATAACAATAATAATATATAAAATTTAAGGATGAAATTGTTGTTTTTTCTGTTTAGTCACCCACTAATCACAAGCGGGGGTTGCTACTAAATTAATAAAATAGTAACATATAGTAGCGGACTTTATTTTTTATAGCGGTTTTGAATAAGTACAAATCTTATCAATCGAACATGTAATCAAATCTTACTATTTAGTCAATAGAACCTAATTGTGGTAACCGAACGACCCCTTAATCAATTTTCTCGTTCTTTGTTACTCATTAAACCCTTTTTATGTTTTCTTATTTATTCATGTGTTGGTTCGGAAAAAAAAACTCCCAAGAATACGTATATAAGTCAAATTCATCCGAAGTTCCGAAGATACATGAAACAGCTGTCAATCGGGATCTCCAGTATTCGTCCATGGTCAACCAACCGATCAACCGGTCAAATTCAGGACTAGTGACTGTACATATATCAACACAAACTATAGTACTCAAGAATCAGAAACTAGTAGCAGCCAGCATTTTATTTATCAAATCACATCCTATTTTCATCACAGTTTCTGTGTTCAACAGGAAATTAAAGCTGGATTATAGGTGATCTTAATCTCTTCAATTCAAGAATATTACACGTATACGGGAAAAAAAAGAGTTTAGAAACAAAACGGCAGTTAATATTCCTTTGCAGAAAGGCGCTGAGTCGCGGTCCACTCTTCGTTCGGATTCAAAGTGATTTCACTATCCATAGCAGCTGCCTCAACACAAATCATCTCCTTATACTCTTCATATCCAAAATCAGATATCAAACCGGCATCATCTTCCCATGGATTCCACACAACTACAAAAATATACGTATATAATACACGTTTTATTAAATAATCCGTTGCATTTATATATAAATACGACACTATGAAGTATATATATATAAAAAAAAAAAAAAAACCTTACCAATTTCAGGAAGACTATCATCTTTGTGAATGGTAATAACTCTTCTAAGCTCAAGGTCCCTAATACGGATCTCATCGGGAGTGTTCAGGTATGCCCTGTCCAACTAAAACCGAAATTAAAAAGTGATTATAGATAATTAATTACACCAAACATAATTAATTAAACTTATATATACATACATACTTCTTCTTCGAAAGTGAGTACATCCGCCTCTTCAGTGAATTGATTGTGATTTAGATAGTCCCGATAATCCAACCCCTGCAATCCTTCAATTCGAGTTGCACTAGAAAACGGATTATTAATTTAGTTAATTCACTGTTGCTACTATATATTTTTTTTTAAAAACATTAATATAATAATGTCATTAGTATATATTAATTTACAGGATATTTGAGACGGAGAAGTAGGAGTGATAGGCAAATTTGAACGCGAAAGGCTCCCCATTAGTGTTGACATTTTTTACACGAGTCGTCATAGTCAGATCTCCGGTGGGTCCCAGGATAACACGTAAACGGAGCTCAAATCTGCAACATTAATTAAAACAGAGGAAATATATATAATTTCGATTATGACCAAAATTATTAGTTAAAGATATAACTGTAAAGTACTTATGATTAGGCCAGTCTTGGAAGTCGTCGGGTTTATGATCGAGAAGAAAATCAACGTATGCATGATCGGGTGTCGGAGGGGGAAAAGCTGTATCATGTGTCAAAATCCATACTTCGGTTCTAGCAAATCCATGTTTCTCCAGGAATTCTTCGTCAAAAAACTGATCATGCATGATTAATTAATTATACACCATGTTATTTTCTTCTACTTAATCAATATACACACGTATATGAAACCGAATAAACGCAATTAGGCAAATGGCGTCACAACGAATAAAAAGAAGCAAATTAACCTTTGGGAAGCAAATTGGGATGCCTCCACGAATCGGCTGAGGAGGTCTGTAAACGGCCTGGAAATTAAATAAACATATTTTAATTAATGGAAGAATGAGACATGCAAATCAAGAATTGACCTTTGCAGAATCATGATTAAATCACTCTTAAATATAGAACAATTCAAAAAAACAATTAACTAATTCCCTTACTTAAATATATTATGCATGATTATATATATACAGTTAAGAACAGTAAAACAGAGCCCGATTTTAATTAGGCCGGTGATTAATTATCGGAATATACAACAAGATCGATCATCTCACACTAATTAATAACATAATGTATTAATCACAGAAAATTAAAATTAAACCACTGGTAATTAATTAAATCAGAGGAATTAAAAAGTAACTCTTGTTCATGTTCATTCTTCCACGATATTACTTGAGCTCCATAAAACAGAATCTACAAATGGATCAAATCACAATCAATACAGTGAAACCCTAACCCCGCACCATTTCTGTAATTACTAAAAAAAATCAAATTAAATTAAAATAAACTGCGTTAATCAATCAATTAATTACGTCGGAGCAAAATCGGAGAAATTTGAAGGTCTGAGACTGAAAATATATATACCTCGGTGGAGTAACCACCAGGTTGGCTGAGAATGACGGAACGGCCGCCGCGGTTGTTTCGGCCTGTAAATCTACGCGTAGGCCGCTGCACTGGCGCCGGAGGACCAGCCGTGGACGAAGATGCCGTTTCCGCTGACATGTTCACTTCCCGAATGTGTGTGTGTGTGTGTGTGTGTGTGTGTGTGTGTGTGTATTGGATGGAAGAAGAAGCACTCGGATGATTTATGTAACTGCTACAGATCAGAAAATTGAAAATGGTGTTTCCGCCTTCTTCACACCTTTTATACTAACAGAATCTAGTTTGCGCTCTAACTGAAATCGATAGATACAGCTTTCCGGCATGAATTTACTTCAATACCCCTGTATGTTCTCTATTCGTGTTCTTGTTTCTGCTAGTTAATTAATTGTAAATTTTTTTTTTTTTTTTTTTTTTTTTTTTTACATTTCCGGGACCACAATTTTGGTAAAATTGAACATAATTTGATTAAATCTTGATATTTATTTTTTGTATTTCTTTTATTTAGATGGGCAAATGGCAAATAGATCATGACAAGGGCACATAATTAAAACAGGGACATCCAACTTTTTTGTCTTTCAAATAAATTCAGCTCATTCAAGCTTATTTGCAAATAAGGAAAATCCTTTTATATATACCAAAATTACCCCCAATTCATTGAAACTCAATTCAACTTCAATTGCATGATTAACACTCCAATTTAGCCTAATTTCATCAATTAACCATTTTAACCATAATTTCAATTTTGACCCGCCACCACCGGAGACCGCTGGTCAGCCGCTGTTGACCGCCGTTGACTCTTTTTTTTTTTTTTGAAAACTTGTTTTTTTTTTTGAAATTTTTTTCCGGTAGGTCAACCGCCGTTGACCGCCGGGTTTCCGGCGTTAATTTTTTTTTTTTAATAATTTTGTTTTTTCTTTAAAAAAATATTTTAATTAATATTACTATCTTGGCTATTAAATTACTGTCTCCAACAGTTATTTTTTGAAGAACAAAAAAGTCAATTTACAGTTAAATTACTGTCTCCAACAGTGATTTAACTGTCGGAGACAGTAATTTAACTGTAAATTGACTTTTTTGTTCTTCAAAAATATTTTAATTAATATTACTGTCTTGGGCCCTTGGCTGCTATTATTGTCTCCCGTAGTTATTTAACTGTCGGAGACAGTAATTTAACTGTTACTTAATTTTTTTTTTCTTTTTTTAAATATTTTAATTATTATTATTGTATTCGTTGCTAAATTATTGTTTTCATCAGTTATTTAACTGTCAGAGACAATAATTTTACTGTTAATTGACTTTTTTATTCTTAAAATAATATTTTTAATTAATATTACTGTCTTGGCTGCTTAATTACTGTCTCCCGCAGTTATTTAACTGTCAGAGACAGTAATTTAACTGTTAATTGACTTTTTTTTTCTTAAAAAAATATTTTAATTAATATTACTGACTGCTAAATTACTGTCTCCAACAGTAATTTAACTGTCTCAGACAGTAATATTAATAATATTATTGTTCAGGAAAATAATATTCATAATATTATTGTCCCAAAAAGTAATATTACTGTCTGAGACAGTAATTTAGTAGCCAAGACAGTAATATTAATTAAAAAAAAAATCGAAAAAAGAAAGTCAACGCCGGAGACCGGCGGTCAACGGTGGTTGACCTGCCGGAAAAAAAATTCAAAAAAAAAGTTTTCAAAAAAAAAAGTCAACGCCGGAATCTGGCCAGAAAAAAAAATTTAAGAAAAAAAATTATTTTCTGAAAAAAAAATATTTTTTCAAAAAATTATTATTTTGGGGGTTAATGTGATATATTTGTTTAAATCCGAGGTCAGTGTAGTATTAAGGAAGTTAGAGCATAATGGATGTAATTGATAATAATTATATTATGGAGGGTATTTTAGACTAAAAACATATGTGTTGGGTCATTGCTATTATAAAATATAGGGTAGTTTAGTAAGTGGTAAATGTGAGGGGTTTGACCCATTTAAAATAATGATAGGTGGTTAGTAATTGGTAAATGTTAAGGGGTTTGACCTATTTAAAATAATGATAGGTGGTTAGTACTAATTTTTTTTTTGTAACCGGGGGTTATGCCGCATAAACCCTAAAAATTATATGAGAATTAATTTACAATTTGAAACTACTTGAGGTATCTCATGTTTAACTTAAAATAAGGGATTTATTTTAAAATAAATTTTTACATATATATATGCTTATAATATATCATTGGAAAGCTCTTCAAACGTAGTTTTATATAAATTAAATAACATCGAAAATTTCAATATATAGAAAAAATTACAATAAGAAAAAAATAAACTCTCATCTTAAAATAAATATAGCACATGAAAACACATGTTATATTTAAATTACATTTTTAAGCTATATTAATTTATTATCTTCATTTTGTTATTACAAATTGAACCTAACTAATTAATGGTACAACTTTGTTATACATGGTATAATAGGAAGCACAAAAATGTTACTCCCTTCTTCCCTTAATATTTGACACTTTTTCAATTTTTTTATATTTCAAATTATTTGTCATTTTACTATTCCAATGAATAATTAATTACATTTTTTTAATTTTGCCCTTTGTCACTCATAATTAATTGAAATAGTTATTTAAAAATCAATTAATGGCATGGGTATTTTAGTGATTTACTATACTTTTTGTTACTATCTATACATATTTATTAAATTTTTTAATATGTGTGCAACTAACAAAAGTGACAACTATTGAGGGAATGAGGGAGTAAGAAACAAAAAACATTCATGTTTTTAAAATTGGGTAGAAATTGAGGTATATAATGCTGCTCAAATGCTGATTGGGCAACCCAAGAATCTTTGAGCGCAATGGTAGAGAATGTCGAGGATCACTGTCACGTGCCTCGGATAATCGAAGAGGCCACAAATTAAGTTAGAAAACTATCTCGATATAAAGAAATAAACTCGTTAATCGTTATGTTAGTTAGATCACAATAGTTTCTACGTAAACACCAAAACATGACAATGTGCAAGACTTATCCTCAAAAGCTTTCAATTTTCATAACTTGGAGATCGCGCGCGACATTGATTGATGCATTACATTAAATGGTAAAATTAGGAACATAAATTGGAAATAAATTTCGATATTTTTATAACAAATTTTTCCATTCCAAATTTCAAAATCCTATCTTTTGTGTTTTTGATTTGATTCTGATTTTAATTTGCGCAATAAAAGTTAAAAAAAAAAAAAAAAGTTCTCCAAAGTTACACTTGTAATACCAATTTTACTATGTATTGTATACGAACGATTTTAGAACAAGTTTTTCATTTCAAATTCCGATTTTTTCTGCTTAATATTTTCTTGGAACGGAACTAGAATTGATTTTTCAATTCCGAAGAAGAAGCAATTTTTTTTTCAAAAGTGCTGATTCCGCTCCATTCGATGTCAATGTACATGATTTCATTGAATGTAAACAAAGTTTTTATCATAACAGAAATATGATTAAGTGCAGCAAGCTCTAAACTATATCTACATTACTGAAGAAAATAATGTTCTACGAACTTCTACGAATAAAACGAAAAAAATTCCATTACATTTCTGAAAATTCTAGGATTCATCTGCAAATCAAAGAATAACATGTTCAAGAAAACTCAAACATCATCGCGGCCCTGATAAAACCGACGGAAGCAAAGGCGTTACATCACGAGAGCCATTTTCCGACATATCGTTAATCATATTCCGTGGAGTTAAGAAATTGTTGTAATCGATATCTTTGATATCGACATCTTTAACAGAACCTTCCAAAACCTTAATCACCATCGACATAGCGGGCCTTTTTACGTAATCATTTTGCACACACAAAGCTCCGATTTTCATCATCTCAACAATTTCTTCATCATTATCGTCGCAGTCGTAATTCTCCACAAGATCAAGCCACTGCCCTTCCTCTGCTTTTTTCTTGAAAGCGCTTAATAAAGGCCTTTCTTCCTCGGGTTTAGATTGCTCGAATATTTTCCTACCACACGCAATCTCCAAAACCACAACCCCGAAGCTGTAAACATCCACTTTCTCTGTAATAACCGCGCTCAGCCACTCGGGTGCAAGATAGCCCGGAGTGCCTCTCATCGTCGTCACAACTTGACTTTGGTCCCGATCGATTAGCTTCGAAAGCCCGAAATCTGCCAGCTTGGCGTTGAAATTTTCGTCTAAAAGTATGTTTTGTGGCTTTATGTCTAAATGGATGATTTTCTGCCGGCAGTCTTCGTGTAGATAGGCTAATCCCTTGGCTATATCAAGAATGATCTTTCTTCTCGTTTTCCAGTCGAGACACTTCTCTTGTCTTCCATAATAGATCCATTTTTCTAACGACCCGTTAACCACGTACTCGTAAACTAAAAGCCTGTGAGATTTGTCGGCACAAAACCCAATGAGTCTCACCAAATTGACGTGATGAATGCTCCCTATACTCTCGACCTCGGCTAGAAACGACTTCTTGATGTGGCCCACTCCGTCGAGGGTTTTCACTGCGATTTTCGTCCCGTCTTTCAATGACCCTTCGAAAACAGAGCCGAATCCTCCCTCACCGAGTTTCTTAGTGAAGTTTCCGGTTGCGATCTCCAACTCTTCATAACAAAATCTTGTGGGCATTCCCGGTACAAGATCTAAGTAATCCTCCTCGTCTTCATTAGATTTTCTCCTTTTTCGGTATACGAAAAAAGCAGTTCCAACCACAACAGCTACAAAAAGAACTCCAAGAATTGATCCAAGTATAAGTCCTAAAGAGCTATTCTTTCCCTTAGAATCTGTAGGTGGTACTGTACCAACTGCAGGGGGAGTCACAGTAGGAGGAATCTGCACTTTCAAAGACACTGAAGAAAATAAATTTCTTACCGCCCCGTTGTTATTCATCAAAGAAAAGACGCGTGACGGCAAGTAGCAGTTCCCGCTCGACGAATTAAAACCGTATTGAAAGATAGCAGCTCTGCAAGAACAATTCCTCAAGCAAGCCTCTTTACACGTATCCATATTAGTGTTACTAATATCCGTCACAAACTCAAAGTAGTTCACATTTTCCAAATCCAAAAACCCGTGATTTTCCGAAGCATTTATATTACTACTACAAGTAGTAGTGAGTGCATTGACTTCGAAACAACCAAGATCAGGGCGCCGATTGTCCCTAGGCGAAAAGTAGACTTCGTTAAAACCCGATCTCGGACAGCTACATTGCCCGTTCGAGCAAACTCCGTACGTACCACAAACCATAGGATAGTTGCACAAACCGAGAAAGCCCGTAAGAAGATCAGCTACTTCCCTCCACGGTGATCCCCATTCGAACACTCTGAGATGCCCGTCGGAACCGAATTTGATAAACTGAGCCGAGTTAGCCGCGGGAATCGCTATCGATAAATCGGGTTCACTAGCCTCGATGGAATTTATATATAAATCTAAACTCCCATTACGAAACTTCGCATAACTTAATTCTGTATTCTGTTTGGTGCCGGAAAACAAGCGTTGGTAGTATACCTGCGGAGGATCTGATTGGACAGAAGCTACTAAGCCTTTGTTCGTCATTGATAAGGAAAAAAGGCCGCCGTCGGTCCAATTCGTCGGCGACGAACTTGCTGTAAGATTCTTACCGGATACTAAGATTTGGCCCGGGACCAATACATCGGTTGGGTGATCAAATGATTGCCAGACAACGGAGTTGTTCGAATCGAAGAGAATTAGGTTTCCCAATTCCGTCAAATTTAATCCCTGTACGGACATATTAGCGGTGTTGGTGGACCAGGCGGTTGTGCCGTCGGCGTCCCTCAGGACCAAGTCGCCGGCGGCGGTGAGCTGCAGGGTTGCGTTGACTTTGACCGGAGTGTTCCGATTGGCCGACCAGACGACCTGCGGGAACCCTATCGACGGCATAGTGATCAGTCCGCCGCTGTTAGTCTGGACGATGAATACGGCGAAGAGGTAAGCGTCGCACGTGCCGTTGCAGAAGAATCCGCAGGCGTATCTCGGACCGAAACTTCCTCGGAGAAGAATGGCTCTGATGGTTGAGTTGTCTGTGAAACTGACCGAGTGACTTGCGGAGACACTGTTGATCCAAGTTGTGGAGAGGTTTGCCGTTGGATAATCGAACGGTTGGGATTCGACGAAGGAAAGATAAACGAAGAAGAAGAAAGCTATGGCGAAGATGATATTCCGACATTGAGAAATCATCATCGGATATTTCTCGCGGAACGGAAGTAGAATTATTGTACAAAGGATAAAATGTAGTGAGTGGAGACACATTTTTCAATGACGGTTCAAACATGGCAGCTAATTAATGGATGTGCTACAGTGCTAGTCAATAATGCTCAGCTACTTAATCAATTTTTTATTATTAGGTAAATTACACCCACACCCCTGAGGTATGCTTAAATAATTTTAAAGTTTCTGTTGTATCGATAATTACACTCACTCCCTGAAACATAGTTAGAAACTCTAACGGGATAATGCATTGGATACATTATTCCCGATAGAGTTCTAATGCACTGTTACTTTTAGCTAGTGGTGGAGATAACATAGAGTTATGGGGAGTTATGGGGTGACATGGCTCCACCAATATTTCTTAAATCACCCATAACTCTTTGTTGTCTCCACCACTTCCTGAAACTAATAGTCCGTTAGAATTCTATCGTAATAATGTATCCAATGCACTATCTCATTAGAGTTTATAAATACGTTTCAAGGGGGTAACTGTAATTATCGATACCACAAGGACCTTAAAGTTATTTAAGCTTACCTCAGGGGTGTGGGTGTAATTTACCCTTTTATTTTTTAACAAAGCTGTAGTCGTCCTAGATGCACGGAGTTAGCAACGTATAATCTAATATTATTATGAAGAAATCATATCTAATTTTATATTTTAAGTTTCCACAAAATATAATTATAGAGTCTACCAATTTTAATATGATTAGCAAGCATCACGTGTGCGCAATGTTTTGAAAATCGGACCGGACATTAAACTGAACAACCAACTGTGTCATGGTTGGACCGGTTCAACCTGGGTCCGATCGGGTTTTTCTATTTTTTAATTATTTGTATATAATTTTTATATACACAAAATTACTTATTCATCACCCATATAAAATATACCATAAATGCGTACCAAACAACAAATCAATTAATAATTGTATTTCATTTAACATTTACTTTTATAAATAACTAGTAACTCACTCGTGCGATGCACGGGAATCTATTCTAAGATTGAAATGTATTAATGACTAAAAGACGTCGGCGATTTAAATCAAATACCTCTATAAATGAAAAGAGGGTGTGCTGATACGATTCATGGGAACAATTTAAAGAAATGAAAATATGATATAATCCAAAAACTTAAAAAATAATATATGTTTTATTTGATTTAAGTATCGAGTTAAACAAAATAAATGATAAAATAAAATAAAAAAAATTATAAAATTGTGATAAAAAAAATAAATATTATTTGAACCAAATGGTACAACTATCTCGTCTAAGACACTTTAATTCTTAATATGAAACTTAATTATCAAAGTAGTGTTTTACAACACATGCATTGAAGTCGCATATAAGTCATCTAATTCCTTGCGAATAACATGCATATTTTTTATTCTTCAAATACAATCAGTGATATAATAAACAGAAAGCAAAACACACACGATGTTATCTATGGATCTGAAAATTAAAAGGAAAGCAAAACAATGATTCGTTAGATTATTATACATACGCATACATAAAAAACGGATAACGTAATAAACATTGGACGATAAATAAAATGCTTCAAAGCGAGCACATCGCACAATACTGATTGCATTATGAAATTACAAAACAGAAAGATGAAAAAAAAAAGTTTTAAGGTGAGGACATTGGTTTAGCATGATCATAACAAAATGTGTGGATAAAGAATGAGATAAATGAGTTTGTGTTGATGGTACTTAATAATTTTCACATACTAAATAAGTTAATAAAATCACTTTAAGAAATCTATATATTTTATTATTTTTCGTGTTAATCGGTTAGAACAAATCAAACAAATTCAAAAAATTATAATTAATAAGAATTTGAAATTATTGAGATGCATAGTTAATAAATGCGATTGTTAGGGGTACTAAAAGAATTAAGATCCAAATCACACGTATTGATTTGATAATAACAATAAATAGTAATGTATTAAAAAAAATCAAAAATGATGTAACCAATGAAATATAACAAAAATAACCAAACAATCAAATCAATTAACCTACCTCGTAAAAATTGGCTAATGGATATAACAAAGTCAAATTAAAGATGTGAAAGCATGACTTTTAAATTATTACCATGTTTACGTGTTTATTAGGTATAAAATATTATGCTTATAATTTATTTAGCTTAATACACATATTGATTTGATACAGTAATAAACATAAACCTAAATAATATCAATTTGTATATAACAACGGCAAACATAACAAAAATAAATAAACAAATAAAATCAAGTAATTAATCATATCCTTAAAAATAATATTTTTCATAAGAATATCAAAAAAATCAAATCAAATCCTTAATCATATCCTTAAAATCAATACTTTTCATAAGAATATCAAACAAATAAAATCAAATTATTTTTTTATTTTAATGTAAGACATTATTTTTTTTTCTAAAGTATAAGTTGATACGCAAAATAATTATTACAAATACTTATGTTAGAACATTATCGAAAACAAAACATCATAATGAAAGATGCAAGTAAAATTAAATAAATAAAGTAATTTATATCTTTAAAAATTAGGGTAAATAGCACTTAACCCCCTTGTGGTTTGGACATTTTGCACATGACCCCCTTATGGTATTAATTTAGGCACATAACCCCCTTGTGGTTTTAACATTTTGCACATGACCCCCTTATGGTATGAAATTAGGCACATAACCCCCTTGTGGTTTTGAAATTTTGCACATGACCCCCTTATGGTATGAAATTAGCACATAACCCCCCTTGAATAGAAATCTGGAAAAGACTCAATTACCCCCCTATCAAGTCAAAAGTTCTTGTTTTAATTTAAAAATATAAAATGAAAAGCTTAATTTTATTTTTTCGTAAATTGAGAAATATAATATATTATTGTGTTTTTTCTATTTTACCGCACATATATATATATATATATATATATATATATATATATATATAAATCAAATAAGCTGTCAATCGTACAATTACTAGTATGTGATACCTTTTGTTCTGTAAAATTAAAAAAAAACACCATAATATATTATATTTCTTAATTTACAAAAAAATGCATTAAGCTTTTTCATTTTTATAGAATAATTATTTTTAAATTAAAACAAGAACTTTTGACTTGATAGGGTTAATTGAGTCTTTTCTAATTTTCTATTCTAGGGGGTTATGTGCTAATTTCATACCATAAGGGGGTCATGTGCAAAATGTCAAAACCACAAGGGGGTTATGTGCCTAATTTCATACCATAAGGGGGTCATATGCAAAATGTCAAAACTACAAGGTGGTTATGTGCCTAAATTCGTACCATAAGGGGGTCATGTGCAAAATGTCCAAACCACAAGGGGTTAAGTGCTTGCTATTTACCCTAAAAATTATTAAAATAGTTAATTTGTAAATAAATGTAATAAAAAATAAAAATCTAGCTAACAATGCATTTTATTAACTAAATAATTCATTAAATACTTAATGGAATAATATTGAAATATATTACTTATATACCTACCAAATATTAAATTATTTATGAAAATTTAAATATATTTATTTTCATTAACTGACATATTACTATTCCATTAATATTTGTATAATTTCTTAAGATTGAGTATCTAAAAAGGACAACTTACTATTATTCAATTAATTGACATATTACCATTCCATTAATATGATAATGCGCATTAATAAAATAAGTTAATGGGTGAGTGGAATAGATTGGAATGAGGGGTATTTATACTTGGGTTTTATATAATAAAAAAGTAAACAATAAGTTATTATGGAAATACACATTTAATATTACAATCTTAACCAATTATTGTTGATTTGATATTTTCAATGAATTAGCCATATGAATCAAATCCAATCAACTTAAATAGGTAAAAAATCAAATTATATGACATAAAATTGGGGAATTTATTGAAAATTTATTGTACAAAAAACATTTGAAATTTAAAATTTGGAATCCGAAAATTTAAATTTCAAAATTTAAATTTTGTTTAGTTAATAATAGTTATAGAATTAAATTAATACATATATATATTAAGTTGGCAAAATATTAAACCAAAAACAAATCCATATATGGTGATGAATTAATTTATTGATATATTCATTTGAATTATTAATGGTTTGTAAAAATAATAATTATTACTACTATATTATTTTTGAATATTATTATTAAAAAACCTAATTTGAAAATATATATTATAAAAAAATGAGTGTTCTATTTAAAAAAAAAAAGACATTCGAAAAATATACGTCGGAAAATTAAATTAAAACGTGAGATAAAAAATGTTTTTTTTTGAATATTCGTATAGACAAAAAATATTTTTTATTTATTAAATAGTTCAATTAAAATATAAAACATTTTTTGTATTTATTTTTAATTGAATGGATATTAGAATATTCCAAAATATTGAAAAAAAAACAACGTATTCCATGATTTTAATATTTTAATATTAAAAAAAATGTTTTTTTTTCTGTAAATTATTTAGATATTCGTATATACAAAAAATATTGTATATTTATTAAATAGTTCAATTAAAAAATAAAACATTTTTTTATAATAATTTTTAATGGAATGGATATTCAAATATTCCAAAATATTGAAAATGGAAAAGAAAAAAAACAACGTATTCCTTTATTTTAACATTTTAATACTTAAAAAAATATTTTTTCTGAAAATTATTTGAATATTCGTAAAAAAATTGAGTATCATGAATTTTTTCAATAAATGTATTTTGAAATACTGAAAATATAAATAAGATTTTTTTTATTTCGAATTTATAAACTATTAGCTTTGGAAATAATATATATTCATGTGGTAACTGTTTAAATGAATGTATAAATGTTAAATAGGAAATAACTCAAATACATACCAAAATAAAATTGACAACTCACCAATTGAAGAATCCACCTCATCATCAATTGAACTCCAACTAAGCAATTTTGATAAATGACATCATCATTTGTCACTTGCCAATTATTGAGGGCATAGATCCTCTTTTATATTATATATAAATAAATTTTGTATTAATAGAGGTCAATTATATATATTACTGACGAAACTACAACAAAACTTTTATATAAATTACTAACCCTCAAACCCTAATATGTGTTTTGTAATAGACCATCTATTTTTCTTTCCACTTCTCCT